GAAGGCCTGGACAACCTATGGGGCTCTGAGCTGTGGATCAGTGTCTATTCCTGGTATACAATCTGTCTTCATGTGCCTATAGCACAAAGAGAGATGCTCTCTCAGCCTGGACTCTTAGGGGAGTGCCTTGACCCTACCAAGAGTAAAATGATAGACTCTAGACATCCCCTATGTGGAAGTATGTGGCAATAGGGTGGGAGGGAGGGTGGAAGGGGAGTGCGGGAGGAGGGGAGGGAGAGGGAACTGGGATTGACATGTAAAACAAGCTATTTAAAATTAAAAAAAAACTAACGAAAAAAAAATAAACATGATCAAAGTCAAAAAAATATATCTCTTTGACCTATACACTCAATTGTAATAGGTGACTAATTACTAACATTCCTAATTATATTTCCTTATTATATTATATTTCCTTATGATCCTATATAGTTGATAATAATGACTTCAAGGACTACAAATTTGTATTACATTGTTAAATGAGATGTATAGGCCATATCTTGATCAAGATTAGAAAAATGTACAGTATGTTTTAATATAATTAATCTCAAATTTGTATCAATATACTATATGAAATTTTAATACAATATGCAAAAGTCTAATCCAGTGTAAGATATTTAAAACTAGTAGTTGCTTTTTAGAAGTTGTTTCAATTATCTTCCTTTATATCTTTTCTATATCTTCCCTTATATTCTTTTCAGAGTAGATTTAATAACCTATCCTCTTTATTCTATTCCTTTTTTCATTTCAAAATGAGAACCCTGAGTCTAATCATTGATTAGCTTTTTTCCTGATGATTACTAATAATAACAACTTCTAACCAATCACCTAAACAATTACAAATATTCATAATAGAATGAAAAACCAAAAACCACACATGCCACCTCTTGGGAATGTGGGTGTTGTATTCTCATTCTTCCTGCTGTCTAGGGGTAATGACATCTTAAGGGGATCCAGAAAAGAAATTTGGGCTCATTGTCAAGTCCTGGGATTGGTAGTTGTTCCATTTATTCCAGTCTCTGTATAATGAGAAAGTGTAGGACTTGTCTCAAGTCTTGGCTAGAGTAGTATGTGAGGTTTGGTCATCTCAACTAGTCACCTTGAAATTATTCTGAGCAGTTTTTGGTCCAAAGCTGATGTTTAGTTGGTGTTTTTCCAGCTTAGTAGTGGTATTGTAGTCATGGTAGAATTGTCATGGTGGAGTTCTATCCTTTTTTAGAGACTTCAGAAATCACATTAGGTCAGATTATTCCATTTCTAGGTAATATTTTCTGGAAAGTTCTCCCTTCTTCTTTGGATTTTTATTTGTCAAAAGGTATTTAAATTCCTCAAAATGGTTGCTTTTTAATTTTCTGGAAAGAGAAAAGTAAAAACCCTACTCTAACCGTATCTTTAGAGTGGTTCCAAATCTAATCTTTATCTATCAAGATTTATGGTTTCTCCTGAAATTTTTGTCTTATCTTCTAAATCTCTTCCATTACCTAGAGCAGTATGGGTATGTTTTTACAATAGGCGCTAGGTTCTTATTTGTCACTGGAAAGGAGTTTCCACAATGACAGGAAACAACTGAATTGAAATTGTCATAAGGGCATGCAAGAGGCACCTCAAAGAGTTCCTCAATGGCAAAGAGTTATCTTGAATATGCCTTTTTGATCTACATTAATTAGTTCAATGCATGCATTTGCCACACCTTCTGCATAATCCAGAAGGGAGAGGAGTTCCACTTAGATTATGGTTAGAAAAAACATTGTTTTCATGAATGCCCTGTATACAGTCCATTTTAAGGTGACCTTGATTGTTACAATTTAAATATCTGACACTTCAATTTTTTGTCAAATATATGGAAATTACCTCTCCTATCCATATATCATCATGGTCATGAGATTCAATATTGATTGAATCTCATACCCATTCTTCCAAGCGAGTTGACCTTGACCTTTTCATTGAAATTTACCATTTTCAAATGACAGATATTGAATTATTATTTGTCTAGCTTCCAAACTTGGTATCATTCTATCTACTACTGATATCAACCTTTCTAGGAATCTGTGAAGACTTCCTTTGGGCCCTGTGTAACTTTAGTAAATAATTCAATCTTATTTCCTACTTCTCCAAAGCTGCCATGTGGCATAAAGAGAGGTTGCCTTTCTATATTAGCATAATCTCCTTCTTCAACAACTTGATCTTGGGAGATTTCTATATCCCTCCTGCTTTACTCATCTTAACCTCTTCTTGAACAAGGTACTTCATTGTGATTGTGAGCCAGGCTCTAAAACACCTTTAAGAAAGTCTATCCAGTCTTTAGGGATAATTCTATAACAAACTGACTATGAGTTAAATGTGTGCTTCACAGATGGTGAATACATGCCATAGGAGATTATCATTTCCTTGAATTTCCTTAAATCTAACATTGGCACAGGGTTTCAACTAGTTTTTAGAGGGTCCCTATCATTTGGCAGTTCCTGTAAGGTTACTAGATATATTAACATTGCTGTTTGAAAATCACAGGTTGTTCTTCTCTAAACTTATCATTAAATATGAAATTGGTTCTCCTTTAAATTCCTCTGTCTGAGTTTGAATATCTAAATGACCTGCTTTAAAAAGTTTTTCTAAGGCCTGTACCTTAGCATTTGTATCAATCAAATTTTTAGAAATAAACCAGGAATCATCAAACTGACAAGAAAGACTACAAAAATGATAATTAACAGTATGTTGATCCTGGTTGAATTTATTATCCCTTCATTTAATTCTCCCTCCCTTGTATTAGTATCTCCAATTTTTAATGTGTGGAAAACTTCCTGTTTAAATTAATTCCTTCCTTTATGAGTTCCCAATTGTTTTACTAAATCTGCAGACATTGTCAGTGAACTGTGAAGTGTAGCACAGCACATCTGATCAGAGAACTACCATGTGAATATGAGCTGAGATTGGCAGCCCAAGGAGATGGCTTATAGGGGAAACCCACAATCTGGGGGGTTTTGGTGGGGATAGCAGGATGTCTGAAAAACTGAACATGAGATTGTGTTTAAAAAACACTTGTGATTGGAGTGGTCTGAAGGTAAATCCAGCTGGTCTAGGGTGCATAAGTCCTATGCCATTTGGAGCACAGGCGCTTCTAGAGTTTGGGTGGTATCTGGAGACTGTTTTAGAGAGAGTGCAATAGGAAAACCCCAAACTTTCTCAGAGGCTGGGGGAAACAGAAAAGGAAAGCTAGCCTGCTGGGTAGTGACTCCAGTGGAAGTCCTGTGTGCATGTGCCAGTGGCTGCAAAGTCACAGACAAGTGACCTTTTTGTGAATTTGTAAATCAAAAGTTGTGTGCAAGATATAACACCAATAATGAAAACCCAGAGACAGAAATTGGGATTCATGCTGAAGATCAGAAAAAGAAAAGCAGTCAACCACTAGAGAGTTCTTACTTCTACCAAGGCTCAGAACAAAAAGGCATGATCCTGTACTCAGCGTGACCAGACTGAATACATTGCACTCCTTTTTCCATTCACCCTATATTCCTCCCCAGTGTTGAGATTAAAGTTGTGTATCACCACCACACATTTTCTATGGATAACTAGTATGAACTAGTATGGCTGCTGGGATTAAAGGTGTGTGCCACCACTGCCTGGCCTCTATGGCTGACTAATGTGGCTAACTTTGCACTATGATCTTCAGGCAAGCTTTATTTGTTAGATCATAAACAGAACAGCACCACAAATGTTCACTAGCTAAAAACACTACATAATGTTTCCTTCAAATTTTGTATATTTTGTGCTGTTAGAATTTTGAGGTTTCTAATGTATCAAATGCTTTAAACAAAAAGTTATCTGAGATTATTTTACCACTTGCCTTTCATTTGTTACCTCTTTTATGTCAGTTTCCTAGCTGTTTTTTCAACTCTTCTTAGGCTGCTTTGTTTTTATGTTTTGGCAGTATCTGGTGGTTGCCGTGAGGATTTGATAAAATTTATTACAACATTTTATTAAGCTGAGAGAAGCTTATCTTTAATTACATGTGCCTAAATCTCCGTACTTTAATACCCGAATGCTCAAGTATAAATTTCAGAATCTAACTTTTTATACTGTGCATTATTCAGGGAATATGACAGTATGTTGATCACTATTGGGAAAAAAAGGTATGGCATTCAATACTGTAAAATGTTGCCAGTCCAACTCCTATGAACATAAAAGCTGCCAGGTATGTATAATATTTAGTTTTATGTATAACGTTGTTTGCTCCAGGACACAGATATCCAAAGAATATTTCGAATGTTGCTGTGGATATGTATATAAATACTGTTAGCAATCTAAATAGTTTAAGAAATTGAGATTGTCATCTTTAGCATAAGTGATTTTCAGGAAAACTTGAGGTTTCACCAAGAAGAGAAAATTATTTCTCGATCATGTAAGTTTAACTATGCCTCGGTTTCTAGGAAAATGTTACACTCTGAAGATCTCAGACATTATAAAAATGTAGTGAGATAATTTCTTAAACTCCCCCTTCTTCCATGTTTACTCATCTCTCTCTCTCCCAACCTGTCTTCATATGTACATGTCTCTTACCTTCACCCTCACTTCCCCCATTCTTCTTCATATACACTTGTGTGTGTGTATATGAAAATAATCATGGAACATAAATATATTTCATATGTAAATGTATATATGATAATAAATATGAAAACACAGTTTTCAATATACACCCCACTTACCATTCGTAATTGATACAGGTTGTTTACCTGGATGAGGAACTTATCATATATTAATTATTATGGAAAATAATTCAAAGTGCTTAGCATGATACCATACCATCAGACACCCTGCCACATCTTTCTATATTAACAACTATCACGATAAAAGGTACACAAACCAAAGAAACAAATATTTGGTTTTCACACATGAAGTTAGAAAATAAAAGTAAAGAGTATAATGAGAAATGCTAGCACTCTATCAATTATTTTAGGTTATTCTTTGTCACTGCTTTTTCTTTGCAGATAAAACTGTACTTTGTGACTATGGCCAATTTCACCCTGGTGACTGAGTTTCTCCTGGAGGTTTTTGCTGAGACATGGGAGCTCAGAATCCTCCTCAGTGTGATGTTCCTGCTGGTGTACCTGGGAAGCCTGTTAGGGAACCTTACCATCATCATTGCTACCACAGTTGACCAGACGCTGAACACTCCCATGTACTTCTTCCTCAGAAATCTATCCATCTTAGACATGTGCTACATTTCTGTCACTGTCCCCAATGCCTGTGTCAACTCTCTCACTGACCAAAGGAATATTTCTATGACTGGGTGTGCAGCCCAGATCTTTTTGGTCTTCTTTTGTGCATGTGTAGAAATTCTCTTTCTTGCTGTCATGGCTCACGACCGCTATGTGGCCATCTGTAAGCCTCTTCTCTACCCTATAATCATGAACCACCAAATCTGTGTTCAGATGACATTGGCTTCCCTACTTAGCTCTCTTGTCATTGCAGGCATGCACACTATCAAAACATTCCAGCTGTCCTTCTGTCATTCTAACAAGGTACCCCAGTTCTTCTGTGATGTCCCATCTTTGCTGAGACTTTCTTGCTCGGACACCTTTACTAACAAACTGTTAATTCTTCTGTCTGCCATTGTGGTCAGTGGTAGCTGCTTTATCTTAATTGCTGAATCATATGTTCACATATTGTCAACTGTGTTGAGAGTTCCTGTCAAAGGAGAGCGAGGGAAGGCTTTTTCCACCTGTGTCCCTCACATTATTGTGGTGTCTTTGTTTCTTATTTCTGGTGCTTATGTGTATCTAAGAACTCCAGTAACATCAGAAGTAGTTCAGGAGATGACTCTTTCTGTATTATATAGCATTGTTCCACCATTCTTAAATCCTATCATCTATAGTCTTAGAAACAAACAAATAAAGGAGGCTGTGAGAAAAGTAACATTAAGAATTTTTTTCAGAGTTGAATATAAAAATATTGTATTGGTCATGGTTTAATAGAGGAAAAGACACAAGCACACACACATACCACCAAGTGGTTTTTTGTCATTTTATTGAAGAGATTTTTTTACATAGCATATTCTTATTTTAATTACCCCTCCCTCTACTCTTTCTAATTCCTCCTCATCTGTCCTCCCATCTGAATCCATCTCCTTTCATATCATTAGGAAAAAAACAGACTTCTAATGGTAAATAATAAAATAAAATGAAATAAAGTATAATACGATAAAGCAAAAACTAGTACATCAGAATATCCCAAAACAAAGAAACAGATGGGAAAGATATGAAGACAAGGTCCAAAAAATAGATGCATAATTGCACTCATTTAAACACTAAAGAAGCCCATAAAAACCTTAAATTTTAGCAAGTGATATATATATATATGTATATATATATATGCAGAGGATTTGTATGATAAAAAGAGACAGAAATAAATTTATATAACATATATCGAAACAAAATATAAGATTAAAAATAGCCCAGGAAAGAAAGTATGAGGGAAGGCTCCTTTAATTAAATCCTTGAGTTTGTTTTCTCTTCACCATCCACTTCTGGGCATGCAATCTACTCTTAAGTGTAGTTTGTTTAGCCAGTGAAACTCCCTTGGAGGAAAATAAATTTACATCTGGAAGTGGTTATCAAGTAGAGATTGTTTCTGGGTTAGAGATACAGGCATGTGTCCACTTCTTATTTCAGCTCTAAGAGTTCATCAAATGAGACACATGTAGGCCCTGTGATGTTGCCTCAGTCTCTATGAGTTCATGTGTGCGAAGATCATGTTGATTTAGATGGCCTTTTTTTCCTGTTGTCCTCCATCACCTCTGACTCATACACTCTTTCAGCTTCCTTTGCACAAGGATGCTTGAGCTCATAGAGGAAGGATATGGTGCAGACATACCATTTAAAACTGACTGCTCTAAGGTCTCTGGTCTTTCACTGTCTGCATTATGTCTGGCTCTAACTCTCTTCATTTAGTCCCATTTACTGCAGGAAGAAAATTTTCTGTATGGAACTGTAACTTATTTTTTAACTGTGTTATTAGTTTTATTGATACCTAGTTTCTTGAGTTCTTTATATATTTTGAATATTAACCCCCTAATGAGAAGTTAAAAATCTCTTCTCATTCTGTAGGACACTAGTTTGTCTTCGTGATGGTGTTTTGCTATCCAGAAAGTTCTCAGCATCGGGAAATCCAGTTTATTAATGTTGACCTTAAATTGAATGATGTTCCATTAAGAAAGTTATTTTTGTGACATTAAGTTCAAGGCTCTATTCCCCACCTTACCTTCTATCAGGTTGTATATCCAGTTTTATTTTAAGACTTTGTAGTTCAATCTTGTTTAGGGATATATGGATCTATTTAGATTATTCTTTTATGTGAGGTCATCCAATTTTACTAGTCTCATTTGCTGAAGTTGCTGTCTTTTTTCAAATACATATTTTTGGTGTATTTATCAAAAACCTGATGTCAATAGGTGTGTGTGGATTTATCTCTGGTTTGCAATTTGATTCCATTGACTAACATGTCTGTTTCATGCCTTTACCATACTTTTAGTTTTTTAACTGTAATTCTAGAGTATATTTTGAGGTCATCAATGGTGATACCTATAGCGGTTTTTTTTTATTCCAGGTTGTTTTAGCTATCCTGGTGTGTGTGTATGTGTGTGTGTGTGTGTGTGTGTGTGTGTGTGTGTGTGTGTGTGTGTGTGTTTCCAATGTTAAGCTGAAAATAGCTCTTTCAAGATGTGTGAAAAATTGTGTTAGAATTTTGATGAGAATTGCATAGAATCTGTAGATTGCTTTTGGTAGGACAGCCATTTTTATTATATTAATCCTGCTATAAATCCAGGAGCATAGGAAATCTTTCCATCTTCTGGCATTGTCTTTACTTTTTTCATAAATATTTTAAAGTATTATCGAATAAGTAGCTTTATTCATTGTTCTCTTGATGTAAGAGATACAATGAGCACGGAAACTCCTATAAAAGGAAGCTTTTTATTGGAAATTTCTTATGGTTCCAGAGATTTAGTGTATTATCATTTTTGGTAGTATGGCAGCACATAGACAGACATAGTGATGGAGAAATAACTGAGAGTTCTAAATCCAGATCCATAAGCAGCAGGAAGAAACTGATATTGAGCTTGACTTGGGCTTTTGAAACTTCATTTCCTATACCTGGTGAAATCCTTCCTCCAACAAGTCTACATGTACTAAAACAAGCCCAAACTTTCTAAATTTCTCAGGTAGTATCACTCCTTGATGACTAAGCATTGAAATGTATCAGCATATACAGGCAATTCTTATTTTAATCATGTAGTAATACTTTCATTTGGATGGTTAGATAGAGTTACTCCAAAATATTTTGTATTATTTGAGGAAGACTATGGATTTTTGTGAGTGATTTTGTATCGAGCTACTTTGCTGAAGTGCTTACCAGCAATAGGAGCTTCCTAATGTAAATCTTCAGGTCACATATTTATTCTTTCATATCATCGGTAAATAATTATACTTTGACTTCTTCCTTTCCAATTTGTATAAACATGTTCCACTTTCCCTGTGTTATTCATCTAGCTCAGATTTCAAGTACTATAGGAAATAGGTATTGAGTGAATGGACAACATTTTCTTGTTCCTGATTTTAATGGAATTGCTTTGAGTTTCCTTCCTTTAATCTGATGTTGGAAATGGACTTCTTGAAAACTGCCTTTAGTACATTGAGGTATGTCCCATGTATCTCTAATCTCTCTCAGACTTTCATCTTCTTTTTGCTCCAGAACTTTCAGGTATGATACTGAATTACTAATATGTGATGTCTCCCTTTTTTGAATATAGGCAGTTAATGGTATGACCTTGCCTTTTAGAAATTTCTTTTTTTTAGATATTTTTATTTAAACTAGAGAAAAATGGCTTCACATGTCAATCCCACCTCCCTCTCCCTCCCCTCTTCCACACACACCCAAAAACACCCCCAACCCCCCACCCAAATCCAAATCTGTTCCCAAGGGAGGGCAAGGCCCTCCATGGGGGATATCCAGAGTCTGTCATTTCATTCAGGGCAGGGCCTAGGTCCTCCCCCAATAGTCCAGGAAGAGAGCATCCTTCATTGTTGGATGCGCACCCAAAGTCCATTTGTATTCCAGGGATAAATACTGATCTACTACCCAAGGCCCCATAGATTGCCTAGGCCCCCTCACTGATACCCACATTCAGGGGGTCTGGATAATTCCCATGCTGGCCTCCAAGACATCAGTCTGTGATCCAAGAGCTCCCTCTTGTTCAGGACAGCAGTTTCTGTGGGTTAAACAAGCCCAGGGTTGACCACTTTGCTTATCAATCCTACCTCTATGTCACCAGTTTCCAGGAGTTCAGTTCAGTGTTTAGCTGTAGGTGTCTGCCTCTTTTTTCATCAGTCATTGGTTGAAGGTTCTAGGTTGTCTTATAAGGAAGTAGTCGAACTCATTATTAGGGAAGGGCACTTAAGGTAATCTCTCCACTATTATTTACTTTGCCAGTTGGTGTCATTCTTGTAGATCTCTGGAAGTCTCACTAGTGCCAGATCTTTCCTCAAATCCATAATGACTCTCTCTATTATAACATCTCATATCCCTTTCTCCTTTATTCTTCTCCCAACTCAAACTTCCTGGTCCTCCATGTCCTACACTCACCTCCTCTTCTCCCCTTCTCTTTTTCCCGGCTCCCTTTCCCCTCCCCCGATGCTCCCAGTCTGCTCAGGAGATCTTTCCTCATTCTCCTACTCTGGAGTACCATCCACATCTCTCTTAGGATTCTACCTATTTCCCACACTCTCTGGCAGTGGAATTGCAGGCTGGCACTTTCATGATCCATATCTAAAATCCATATATGAGTCTGTACATACCATGTTTGTTTTTTTGTGACTGGGTTATCTGACTCAGGATGATGTCTTCTAGTGCCATCCATTTGCCTGCATATTTCTGGAATCCATTGGTTTTTTCCGCTGAATAGTACTCCATTGTGTAAATGTACCACATTTTTTCCATCCACTCTACAGTTGAGGGGCATCTAGGTTGCTTCCAGGTTCTGGCTATTACAAATAATGCTGCTATGACTATAGTGGAACAGATGTCCTTGTTTTGTGAATGTGCATCTTTTGGAGATAAGCCCAACAGTGGAATTGCTGGGTCTTGTGGTAGGCTGATTCCCATTTTCCTGAGGAATCTCCATACTGATTTCCAAAGAGGATGTACTAGTTGCCACTCCCTCCATCAGTGAAGGAGTGTTCCCCTTTCTCCACATCCTCTCCAGCATAAGCTCTCATTGGTGTTTTTGATTTTAGCTATTTTGACAGGAGTGAGATGGTGTCTCAGAATTGTTTTGAGTTGCATTTCCCTGATTGCTAGGGATAATGAACACTTAAGAAAGTGCCTCTCAGCTATTTTAGACTCCTCTATTGAGAATTCTCTATTTAGTTCTGTACCCCACTTTTTAATTGGATCCTTTGGTGTTTTGGAGACTTACTTCTTGAGTTCTTTGTAAATTTTGGAGATCAGCCTTCTGTCGGATATGGGGTTAGTGAATACCTTTTCCCATTCTACAGGCTTCCTTTGTGTCCCGTTGACTGTGTCCTTTGCCTTATAGAAGCTTCTCAGTTTCAGGAGATCCAATGTATTAATTGTTGACCTCAGTGTCTGTGCTGCAGTTGGATGGGTATAAAGTTTATGAGGATCTGGGAAGATGGAGATTGTCAGTATAGTGACAATTCCTTATAGCTTGTAAACGCATCTAAAATTGTCTTTACCTTCCAGATGGCAGTGATTCAAAGTTCCAATGCTGACATATCTTGTCATTCTTACTGATGTCTCTGATTGTTCAAATAACTATGTGATTTCTTTTCTTTTTTTCAACCCTTACTGATAAATATGACACTAACTCCTGCAATGTGGTGTAAGGAAATATGATGAACTACGGAAATAACTCAAAGCCAAAAAGAAAAGATGAGCACTGTAAAATACAAATGTATGATTTTAATATATATATATGCAGTGAATACAACTATGTTCAGTGAATTTTGTGTAAGAAAGTAAACAATAAATATAAAATTCAAGACCATGATTATTTTGACAGCTATTCAGGAGTGCATGAAGTCCTTTCTTGATACAGTAACTGAGATTATAAATGTTAGTTAATTATTAATTGTACATGTATGTTGCATATAGTTTAAATAAAAATGAATTCTCAGTCTAATACTTGTGCTTTAAATTGAACAGAAAGATGAGACTTACTTGAAGTGTGAATAGATCAGAAATCATCAGCTAGTATGTCTGAAGTGATCCTTTGAGCTTTGGTGTCCAGGCGGCACTTAAGTCTCTGGGCAAAGGAGGCTTGTATGCTGTCCCAGGTGTGTTCTCTAATGAAGTGATTTTTGTTTCATTGAGATGACCCAGTTAGATGCTATATTAGATTTCTGATCTAATATACAGGTAAATGAGTTGATGTATTTAACTGTTTACCATAGTTTTACTTACTTAATAGAACCTCAAATTTCAGAGATATATCCTACAATTATAAAATAAAATTTATCCATCTTTCCTTTTTGATTCACAAGGAAAAATAAACAGAATATAAATATACATACATATACATACATATATTATACATAATCATAAAATCCCAATATGTATTTTTCTATAAAGGTCATCCCATTAATATCATACATATTAAATACAGATTCTCTGAAGTACCCTTAGGCGACATCTCTCAAAGTTTCCGCTGCAGCTTGCACTGTGAAGGCTGCAACAGAAATCTGTCTCTTCACTTCTCTCCAGGCTTTAGAAGGGTCCACTTTGCTATCAATATCAAAAAGAGCATCATAAATCCCTGGGAATGACTCTCCAGCATACTTGTTGTGGCTGCTTGGAGCATAGATAATATGTCTGTTGATAAAACAGATTTCCATACATTGGTTACACAAAAAATATACAAGTAATGAAGGTACCATGTTTGAACTGCATATGACTTCTTTTCTTGCTTGATTTTTTCACTTGTTACCTGAACTTAAAATACTATAATCTCCTGGAATATTAGTGTACATCATTTTACTTTTAATGAATAGCTCAAAGCCCTTCAGTGCAAAACACATAATAGTAAGAATAACTAGCATGAACTGTGCTTAGTATTTAAAATAGTGACTTACATTTTTTGTAATTACTAAAATAACTATGTAATATTGATAATAGTGTTCCAAGGAGGAAAGTGATCTGATATGAAAAGTGATGAATTATTGTCAGTGCACATTGCCAGTAAGTGATGATGTTTACATCATACTCCCTGCTAAGACACATCATGACATCATGCTTACAATCTACTGTGTACTAGTGTCAACTTTTTAATGCTTTGGTAAGATGGATTCATACTCCATAAGAGTCAACTTATAGTATAACAAGTCATTATGAAACAGTATTTAGTCTTATGCATGACCTAGGTAGATATATATTATTGAAGTAGCCAAAGGACTTCATATACTGACTCCAGAAGAGCATTTCACAACAAAATCTTACACCAAACAACATACTCCATTATCTTCTTAATTCGACCTCATTAAAGTTCTTAAAAACTCAAACAGTAGTTCTCAAACTTCTTAAACAATATGTGATCATTTAATATAATTTGTCTTGTTATGGTGATACCCAACAATTAAGTTATTAACTTGCTGATTCATAATTAATTTTGCTTCTGTTATGAATCATAATGTAAAATCTCATATGCAAGGTATCTGATAATTCATTGGGAGCACCTGGTGAAAGGATCCTTTGACCTTCAAAGTGGTCAACATGCACAGGTTGAGAACCACTGGCCTATCAGAGTGAAGTCAGATTTTATACATTCTTTATTAGAATTAAACACAAAGAGCCTTTGCCCAGGTTCAAGTGGAGTCTTCATACTCTCCTGAAACTGGTGAGCAGAACACCAAGTTTCCATGCTCCTGTCAGCATTCTAGTCTTCCTAACTCTCACCACATGGATTTTCAATGAGGTGTGCTTGTCATATTTAAGGACTTAATCCCCAAACTCTCCCACATTCAACCGTAAAATTAATTCCAAAGAACAATGAACCTCAGTGAGATTATCACAGCAACAAGCCACACTTAACACACGTTTCTTATATTACTTACTTTCTCCTGACTGTGACAAAATACCTGCTAAACTCAAGATAAGGGGAGAGTTGAATATTTGGTCTCAGAATTACAGTCTACTATGTTGGGGGAAGCATAAGAGCAGGAAGGTGGGGTAGCTGAGCATATTGTATTAACACTCAGACAGCAGAGAGATGAATTCTGGTGATCCAATTAAGTCCCCTTATATTTCACCCAGACCCTGTGTCATGTCATGATGCCACCTAGGCTTAGTATATGCAATCCCAAATTGGTTAAACATTTCTGTAAACAACCTCACACCCAAAGCTTTGTATCCTACGTGATTCTAAATCCAATTGTGTTGACTATAAGATTTATAATCACAGACTCCAACAATTAAAAATAGTTACGAGTGAAAAGAATAATGTTGGTGGTATGACAGTACTTAGTTTCAAGCCACACTATAGAGCTCCGTTACCAAAAAAGCATATGACAGAAAATTACATAGATAAATGAACAGAAGAGATGACCGAGAAACAAAACCTCACATTTACAAAGATGTCAAAATATATTCATTGAGGAAAAGATATCCTCCTCAGTAAATGGTGCTGATTAAACTACATGAAATAATGAAATTATATCCTTGTCTCTCATGCTACACAAGCATTTCATAATGGACCAAAGACCATAAAGAAAGACCTGAAACCCTGATAGTGATAAAATATAGGGAAAACATTTCAAAGTGCAGGTGTAGACAAGGGTATTTGAAAAGGATTCCAGCTGCTAATAAATAAGGTCTTGAAACCTTTGCTCATATTATTGCTTCTCCCTTTCTATGACTGGATTACAGGATTTCAGCCCAGTGCTTAGGTGTGATATCTAAATCTGCTTCCATTAGTTACTGGATGAAGGTTCTATGATGGCATTAATGTAGTCATCAATATGATTACAGAGGAAGAGCAGATAAGGTACTCTCTACATTACTTCTTTGATTCTTAGTTGGGGAAGACCCTGATGGGGAAACTTATAGAAACAGCTGACCCAAGCAGGTGGGAACTCAAGGACTCCAGACTGATGGCTGGGGAATCTGCATAGCATATAACTAGACCAGCAGAATGAGGGTGACAGTTGGATGGCTTGGGCAGTTCGTGGGGCCACTATCAGGGAAACCAGTATTCATCCCTAGTTCATGAATTGGCTTTTTGGAGACCATTCCCTATGGAGAGAGACCTTACTCAGGCTAGATACAGAGGGGAGGACCTTGGTCCTGCCTCAAGTGATGTGACAGATTTTTGTTGATAGAATATGGGAGGTCTCACCTTCTCTGAGGAGTGGATTGGGGTTAGAAGAAGGTGAGGGAAGCGGGATGTTGGAAGGGAGTGGGAACTGGTATTGGTATGTAAAATAAGATTATTTTAAAAATAAAACTTTAGCCGGGCGGTGGTGGCGCACGCCTTTAATCCCAGCACGCTGGAGGCAGAGGCAGGCGGATCTCTGTGAGTTCGAGGCCAGGCTTGACCGACAACCTCCAAAACAATACAGAGAAACCCTGTCTCATAAAACCAATAATAATAATAATAATAATAATAATAATATAAAAAAGGGAAAAATAATTCCAAGGATTGGCTAATATAACTTAAGGTCTTATGTGCAGGGGACAGTCAAATGAATGGACTATTGATAAAATTGGAGAAAATAAACATCGGACAAAGGGTTGATATCTAGACTATATAAGGAATACACTCATTAAATACCCAAACCCAAAACTACTCAGTCAATAAATGGGTTAATGAGATAAACACACTCTTCTCAAAAGATGAAGAATAAAATCCAATAAACATATAAAAAATGTTCAACATATTAATTATCAGGGAAATTTAAATTAAAACCACCTTGTGTTTCCATCTCTCCGCAGTAACTAACAAAGAAGAACAAATGCTGATGAAGATGTAGGGAGAAGGGAACGTTTACACATCAATGGTTGGGGTGTACCTAGCTCAATTACTATAGGGTTAAACATGAAAGTACATCAAGAAAAGGGCAAATAGAGCTACCATATGACTCAGCTACCTCACTTCTGGGTGTATGCCTGATGGACTTTCTACCTATGGCAGAGGTGAATGTACCTGTGGTTACTGTAGTACTATTTATTACAACTCACTCATATGACCATCCTAGATAGCTATCAATGAATTAGTAGGGAAAAAAGTGAATACACACACACACACACACACACACACATATCAATGGAGCTTTTTTATTCAGTTACAAGGAGGAATGGAATTACACTGTTTCCTCGAACATGGATGTAACTGCAGATCATTATATTAAGCAAAATAAACCATACACAGAAGGATAAATCACTATTGCTTTAATTGTGGAGCCTAGAATTCCTTAAACTCGTGTAAAATACAGAAAGGACACTGGAGAAATGAAGGAAGTCTGTGAGAGGAGACATGGGGTCTGAGTACTTAGAGTGGTGAATGAGGCTAGGATGAAGGACAAAGTATTTATATTTGAAACAAACATATTTTATAGAACCTAATTCTGTGTACAGTAAAATTATCTCACTAACAATATTTTGAATAATAATAAATAAACTATGATATTTTTACACAAAGTGATATTGGACTATAGAATTATTTTTTCCTCACCTGTAGAAAGGCCTGCCTGGTAACCCTAAAGGATCAATGAATGCACGTTCCAGATACATCAGCTGGTCATTCATAATTCTCAGTGATATGGGGCTAAAAAAGAAATTAATGAAGTTGTACCTTCATAAACTTATGAACACAACCTGGTAAACTATAACTTTGTAATAAAATCACTGATGCATTTTAATCATTATAACATACAAATTAAGATTATCAAGAATGTTATACAGATTAACAAGGCTGTACTTAATTATTTAGGACTATTGTAACAACAATTAGTGAAAAAAAGGTCAGGAATTACAAAAGAGAATAATAGGTGTGTGAAGGGATTAGAGAGAGGAATGAGAGGGTAGAAATGATATAATTTTATTATAAACTCAGAAACAAAATAAATTTAAAAAGGATATCAGCATGCATAGTCCTCATATTCAGAATTCCCATAAAATACTATTCAAATAAAGCATGAGCTATGAAACAGGAACATGCTGGTGGTAAAACATGATACTAATTTTAATGCACAGGAAAATAAGAATTAATAATCCTGTGTTTATAATTACTGTCAAGTTTTTCTCTGCATTACAGAAACTAACAATCTACTCACAGAATTACATTAACATTGAAAATCTACTAATACCTATTAAGTTTACAAATTTAAAAATATTAAGTTAGTGATAATATATAATATTCTTATTATTAAAAATAAATCTGTCAAATACATAATCCTTGCTTTATATTTTCTCAGCATTCAATATCATGTAGAAACCACTCTTACAGAGATCACATTCTCAAGGGAGATTATGAGGTTGATGCAGAAGGTTATCATTGTTTATAAAGTGAATCACTCAATTAAAAGTCTATGATCAACTCCCAAATTGCTCAATCATTAATTATCAAATACAGTAGCCTAATTATCCCCTTATTTGATTAGTGAATATTATAGTTTTAGTAGATAGTTGTTTTATCCATTAATTTACCAAGATCTCCATTTTATCTGTATTTTAATAGTAATAGTATGTAATAATCCCTCACTGTCGTAAAAACTTTTGAAAAGTTTAAATTCAGAGCAATCCTGAACATTACTAAAGGTTATAATTCCATTTCATATACTAAGGATTAGTTTGGCAGTTTTTATCATTTTACATCTAAACAGTAAATCTTAACATTTATCAAATTCCACTTCTGGCTTTGGTTTTACACAGAATTATTCCTACTTGTTCATCACATCTAAAAATGATGACTGAACAGTATTTATTACTCCTGAAAAACTGATTTTTAATGGAGATGAAAAGTATAATATGTGTATGGACATAATGACTTCAAGCACAAGCTGAGAGAAGTTTGCTCCAAGATTCAAAGAATCTGTTTGGGGTATGATGTACACAGGTGAAAAAAAGAACAAGTGAAACCAAAGCATGTTGGACTCAATACTAAAGTATTGAGATTGTATGTAATAGATTGGCAGGAAGGGGGCACTGTGATCCAGTTATAATTCATGTAAGAAATAAAATCATTGACTGATACAGAACCCTGTACAGGATGAATTAGAGTAAAGACAGAAAACATGAAAGAATTTCCCAAACTATTTGTGTAACAAAAATGTAAATTTTTGTTATTTTTATTATATCTATTATATTATACACAATTATATACTACAGATATAGCATAACATATGACATACTTGCTTTTGTCTAAGGCTTGAAGTTTTTTGTTGAACTCATATGTAATCTCTGTAAAATTCTTTACTGCAGAAAACAGGGCATCTGAAATGGAAATTCAAATTATTAAAAGCTTTAAGAACATGATTTCTAAAGCAGGTAAGTTGCCAATGCCTGCAGTCTCAGCACTTAGGAAGCTGAAGCAGGAGAATCACTCCAACTCAGGAGTTTAATACCAGCCAGGGCAAGATGTGCAAGTCCCATTTCAATACAAGAAAACCACAACATGGTTTCTGTATATTTCAAGAAATACAAACTACATAGGAAGTAATTTTTTTATTTTATGAGGTATTTATATATTTTATAGCATCTATGTAATTGAACACATATTTTAATAGAAAAAGGTCTATCTGGTGTAATAGAAACAATGATAAGAAATGGTTAAAACATGATTGATTTTGGAAGATAAATTGTAACATACCAAAAGATACCATGTATTCCTTCATCTGTTGTGGGTGGTTCATTGAAATGTTGTAGATATTTTCAGCATGCTTTTTCAGAGCAACAGCATAATCTTGACAGTCAAAGGGAAGCACTATAGAATTGGCCAGTTCAAACACCATCCCTCCTCGAACTTGGGCCACAGTAAGGTGATATTTAAAAGTTGGATCATAAAATTTTTCGACCAACTCATATGTTTCATAGACACTGTGATAGAGTGGATAACTTCTGACTTTGGTGGTTTTCTACAAGAAAAAAACATTTCTCTGTAAGATAGCTCATAACAAGACCATTATATGATACTTACTGTAGATATTGTTAGGTTTGCTCACTAATGAACAGGAACCATATAAACTTAGGAACTTAGAATTTAGTAAAGTGCTAATTTAGCCATGTGCAAATGAAAACACATGTACACATAACAGAGGAAAAAGACTGTGAAAATATTCTTTGGTAGACTCTCAAGAGATTGGTCAATCAGCCAGAATACAAGAAATATGCAAATTTATTGAGAGTCCAAAGAATAAACTGTACAGTGTTGCATTAGAAAAGAAATGATTTAAGAAGAGTGTTTCAGAATTATTAGACGACTGAAGTAATATTACACACTAGAATATAGGTGACTCCGTCAAATCATTTATCACTGAAACGACCACAGAAAAATGTCTGAGATGCAGTATGCTGCAGAGGGCAGGAACCAAGAAGTGAGGACCACAGTGATGGATTGAGATATGTGTTAATGTTCAATAAGTTATAAGAAAACTGTGTATGTGAAAATCAAGGACTTTCCACATAGTGAATTGCTGACTAATGTCTTCTGATGTTTTCTCAATATGCTCCTTTGCTACTGATATAAAACACATTTTGTTTAATATGCTGAAGGGACAGACTCAGGCATTATTAATGATGGATAAGTTTCATTTTGACTGCAAAATTCATTATCAAGTGCATTCAGTAATCACCTGAACTTTTGTTGTAGTTTCTTATATGTTAAAGGTGTCTATTCTCATCAAACCCCCATACAAACCCATATAACTCCTTACCCAAAAATTCCTGGCTGGGGGCAAATAAGTTGGTAAAGAGTAAAGAACTACAAATGTTCACTGTTGTCTAAATAATACCATGTGGTTTTAAGATTTGGAGCACAGTGGGCAGTCAGAATTGGGTCTAACTGATTTCTCCTCTGACTAGATCCTTGTGGGCAAACAATTTAAACAAAGTCTCTCTTATATTTTAATGATTGTCCTGGCTGGCTTTATGTCAATTTGACACAAGCTAGAGCCATATAAGAGGAAGGAACTTCAAATAAGGAAATGATGCTGTAAGATCAGGCTGTAGACAAGTCTGTAAGGCATTTTATTAATTAGGTACATGGTTGGTGCCATCCCTATACTGAGCAAGCCAGAAAAAGTGAGTCATTAAGCAGAATTCTTCTTCAGCCTCTGCATCAGTTCCTGCCTATAAGTTCCAGGTCAGTACTTAACAGTCCTTCCCAAGTTGTTTGATCATGGTGTGTCATCACAGCAATCAGCCTTAAATAAGGAAATTAATATGCTATTTTTTCTTACTAACATAAATCTGAAAATAAAAGTAGACATCTAAGTTATTACTTACAAACACTGAAGTAAGGAAAGTTTAGAAAAAAATTAAAAGGACTTAAGGATTAAGTGAATTAAAAATTCATTAATTTGGACTTACCCAATTTTTAGTATATCTTGCTCTGCCTGAAGCAATTCCAAGTCTTTGGAAAAACACTTCAAAATCATTGCCGGACCCCAGCTTGCTAATCCTTTCAGGGATAAATTAGTAGAATTAGTTCAGAGTACATGCTCATTCTATAAAGATCAAAGGTCAAATACTAAATTCTAGTTATGCTATTACAAGTATAATAGCGTTAGACATACAGCTTAAATAAGATATTTATTCTAATTCTGAAAATGTACTCCTCTGTAATGCAATTCTATGGAGTGACACTTTGATAAATCACAGTTTTATTTAAGCATTCTGATGGGTGTTTCATGTGTATCAGACATTTTCAGATAATTAGAATATAAATTATTCCTGATCATTTAAGTTATTCATATTGTAGATATCTACATTTACAAACTGTTGAAATATTTATTTTCCTTCTCTTTCATGTAAAGATACAACCAGGAATTCATAGTTATAACTTATCAGAATAAACAAAATACTTGTTAACTTCATTATGTTCAGGAAAATGAATAATTATAGACTGACATGTGATAGATATTCTACAGGAATTTTGTTCCATTTTCTCCATTTTTTACATGAGACCTTTTACATGTACCATGTAGAAGCATCATGTATCTTAATGGGTACTATTGTTCTCTCAATCCTTTTAAAGGAATATGAAAATTATATTTCACAGTATACTTTGAAGGGCCCATGTCATTAGAAGTTTGGCTGATCACACTGAACCACTTAGAAGGAAAGTTGGAGGTACCCTTGAATTAATTGGTAAGGAGACCATTTCCTGAACATAACACAAGTAGCACAGACACTGAGGTCAACAATTATTAAATGGGACCTCCTGAAACTGAGAAGCTTCTGTGAGGCAAAGGACACAGTCAACAAGACAAAATGGCAGCACACAGAATAAGAAAAGATCTTTATCAACCCCACATCTGACAGAGGGCTGATTTCCAAAATATAAGAATAACTCAAGAAGCTAGTCACCGAAACACAAAATATTCCAGCTAAAATGTGGGGTACAGAACTAAGTAGAGAATTCTCAGTGAAAAATTCCAAAATGGCCAAAAGACACTTAAGAAAATGCTCAATATCCTTAGCTATCAGGGAAATGCAAATGAAAACAACTCTGAGATCCCATGTTGCACCTGTCAGGATGGCTAAAATAAAAAACACATATGACACTTTATGCTGGAGAGGATGTGGAGAAAGGGGAACACTCCTCCACTGCTGGTAGAAGTCCAAACTTGTACAGCCCCTTTGGAAATCAGTAAGGTGGTTCTTCAGAAAAATGGGAATCAGTCTACCACAAGATCCAGCTTATACATATACCCAAAGGATGCACATTCATAGAAAAAGGACATCTGTTCAACTATGTTCATGGCAGCATTATTTTAATACCCAGAACCTGGAAGCTACCTAGATGCCCCTCAACTGAAGAATGGATAAAGAAAAAAGGTGGTACATTTATACAATGGTGTACTATTCAGCAGAAAAAACAATGGAATCTTGAAATTTGAAGCAAATGGATGGCACTAGAAGAAAGTGTCCTGAGTGAGGTAACCCAGTCACATAAAGGAAAAACATGATATGTCATATATGGATATTAGATGTGGAGCAAAGGATTACCTGCCTATAATGCACACTATCAGAGAAGCTAGGATAACAAGGAGGACCATAAGAAAGACATACATGGTCCCATAGAAGGGGAAAAGGACAAGATCTCCTGAACAAATTTGGAACATGAGCAGAGGGGAGAGGGAGGTAGGAGAAAGAGAAGGGGAGAAGAGAAAAGGGGAGGAGGACATGAGGGACCAGTAAAATTGAGTTGAGGGAAGAATAGAGGAGAGCAAGAAAAATGATACCTTAATAGAGAGAGCCATTATAGGTTAAAGAGAAATCTGGCACCAGGGATATGTCCAGATAGCTACAAGGATGATCCCAACGAAAAATCTACGCAATAGTTGAGAGGTTTCCTTAAATGTCTTTCCCCTAAAGTGGGATTGATTACTACCTTATATGCCATCCTAGAGCCTTCATCCAGTAGATGATGGAAGCAGCAGAGACCCACAGATAAGCACTGAGCCAAACTCCTGGAATCCAGTTGTAGAGATGGAGGAGTGATGAGCAAAGGGGTGGAGACCAGGCTGGGGAAACCCACAGCAACAGCTGTCCTATATGGGGGAACTCATGGATCCCAGACTTACAGCTGGGAAACCAGTATAGAACCAAATCAGGCTCCCTCAAGGAGGGTGTCAGTTAAGAGGCCTGAGCAGTCTATGAGGACTCTGGCAGTGGAACAGTATTTATCCCTAATGTACAATATACATTAGGAGCCCATTCCCTATAGAAGGATACTCTCTCATCCTAGACACACAGGGGAGGGCCTAGGCTATACCCCAAATGATGTTACAGACTTTACTTTGATGATCCCAAAGTGATGGCCTCACCCTCCCTGGGGAGCAGGAGAGGGATGGGATGGGGTATTTGTGGGGGGCATTGGAGGATGGGAGGGAATGGAAAGATGGGAGGGAGAGGGGACTAGGATTAATACGTAAAATAACATTTTTTTCTAATTTAAAGAAAAAGAAAAAAACAAAAAGAATGAAGTTTGACTGCTGCCTCTTGTATACATCTTACTCAAAGTAGCAGCTCTTGAAATACTCAAATTTAACTTCAAAACAGAAAGTAATATTCTATTTCAAACCTAAGCAATGCATTGGTTTATCACATGTAGGAGAACTTTGAAAGTTACTTTTTAGTACCCTTATCTTTTCAAAAGAATCCACAGAGTAACCAAACTAGGTAGAATGTCAGGGTTGCTTGTGTACCTGGGCATTCCACTGAATTCAGGTGAAGGACTCTTTTCTCTCCAACTGTCATAAAGAGATTTGTCTTCAAAGCCTTCATCTGGGCTTTGGAGCTAACGAAATGTAAAAGGAAAGAACACTCACATATCCGATGCATAAACTTCAATGTCCCCCAATGAGAAAGTGAAGAGTTAAACTGATTACAGAAAACAAAATAAATAGCTCTCTACATTAGAAATTGCTGTGAATTATGGGGCTGCTGTGTGGCACAATGTAAGACTACTTTCCTGGTATGCTGGAGGCATTGGATTTGATGCCCAGCATAGGGATTTGACAGTTACAAATGAGAAATTTCTGAAGGGAAAATGTTTGTGCATGTGTAGGTAGGAAGATATGGGGTGCATAGGAAATAATTCAACAAATTATTTGCAAGTCATTGTCTGCGGGAGAACAACTGTAGAACTGTTTTCCAAGACTAAAGGAAATTACTCTCATAATCATATACTTCTCCTACTCTTATAAATAAATACATGGAACAATCTTACTAATGCAAATATTCCTGTTAATATTGCTTCTTGTCAACAGGATTACTGAAGTCTTACATGATATATACTGGAGTCATTAAGTAACATAACAAAATGCAATGTAATTAATGGTATTCTTTTTAATTGATTCTTCGGTATAATTACACCAAACATTTGGCTTGAAACTCACTATCTATTTTTTTAGAAATAAAAATTGACGGAGTAAAAAATGACCTATTATTAAATTTTATAATTGGAATACATAAAGTTGTATCAGGAATATTTAATAAGCTAAGCATAACTAAGGTTCCATAATTAATTAGGTTCAGTGGAAGAATTTATACAATATTTTGTTTCATTCTTAATAACTCAGGTATATTATTTGAAAATATGGTCAGTTCCAAAAAGTATTTAGCACCTACACATTTAAAGTTTTTAAATAAAATGTAGAGGACAGTGTACTGTATACTGCAGCAAATATATTGATAAATAATAATAAAGACATGGATTAGATATTTTTCTTGCATGTGAAGAGGATAAGAACATATGTCAGCATCTTCACCTCTAAATGTCAATAAAGAAACAAATTATTTTGCTCACACTTATAAATTCACTCTCAATTTTCTTAAGAAACTTACATTTAAAAGTATAATACTGTATTAAATTATCAGTTTATCAAGTAAATGTTTTTAAGTAACTGTAAATACTTTCTCCAACCAAGGAAACAAAACAAAAAACTGCCATGCTTCATTGTCATTTGTCTTAAATTACTAAACAGTGATGTTTCCCTGAAATACTAGTTTTGAGATATTTAAATTTCAAATGATGCATAGTAACCAATAAAATTGCATTGAAATGATGAAGATCTTAAACATCTACATGAAAAGTTTCTAATTAATGAAGTTACTATATCTCTAGAAGAAACCATTTTTCATGATTGAATTCCATGCATTGAATACAAAGATTAGTGTTTTATTTATAGTTCCTTTATGAAATAATTTTGACTTTCTTAGAAATACATTAGAATTGGTAAGCATATCCAAGGATCGAGTTTTGGGGTTATGTTTGGTTTTTGCAGTACATTCCAGGTCAATTTCAAAAACTTGTCATAAAGCTGGAATGATGGTACACACCTGTAATTCCAGATCTCCGGAGGCTAAAACAGGAAAATCTAGAGATCAAGTCCAAAGAGATCCGAACTTAATATGAAGACCCTTGCTTAAAAGAGCCTTTCACATAGCAGTGTTAGTTGTACCTCTCAACCAGCTTAAGTATCTGTGGCTGCTAAGAGACCTAGGAAGCATGTCAGGCCCTCTTGATGGGCCCACAGATTGGAGACCAAGACAAACGATGAAAGGGGATCTACAAGGCATCACCTAGTGTTTGTCCCAAAAAGACTCTGCATTTTCACTTAAGAAATCATTTCTCCTACATTTTGAGTTAATTGATTTTTTATCATAAAGGGGGTATAAAGCAATTACAGAGCACAGGAATTAAACTAATGGCTGCTTTGTAAGGTCTGTTTCCTCATGTTCATACCTGCGATGGTAGGAGAATGCAGCGTAAAGGCTTGCTCACAGCGGATAGGGAGATGGGAGGTAATATACCAAAAAAGTGTTGGTAAACTGTGACAGGGGAATATTTTTCTTATGAAAAATAAAGTTGGCTATAAAAATATCAATGTCTAACATTATAATTGCACCCCAAGCAAGTATCATTTTTAGAGCTGCTGAGATGGCATGTCTTTCTCTTTACCTCTTTCGTTAGGTTGTACACTAAGCTGTGCATCAGTGGTGTGCAATCAACTCTTAGAGTATAATTTCCTGAAACAGAAGGGATAGGAAGGTTTAGTTGTTTTCGTTTCCATTATTTTATTCACAGATGAGTGCTAAACTTTATACAGAATGATCTGTTCAAACATGTTCTTAATGAAAATTCCTTAATGCTCTCCATCTTAAACTATAAAATACAACATCTTTGGCACTGAAACAATTGAAACTAGACATGAGGTTGGGGAGAAAGCTAAACTAATGACCAACTCTCTCAATCTCCTCTTCACACTCTACCCAAGACCTCTGACTTAAGGACTTTGAAAATACTGTTATCTCAGTCTCTATCAGCATTCTACATATCTGAATGAATCATTCATCCTTGGATTCATGGTACATTTTCTGAGTGATCTTCCTCACTCCTGTATGTGAAACTGCACATTGCATCCACCCCATATTATCTACTGTCTTTATCTCTTGCCTTTGGTCTGCTGTAACATAGCTCACCTCCCTCAAACTTGACTAACTGTCTTATTATCTCTTTCTTCCCAATGCACTGTTGAAAAAGAGCCTGCACATGTGTCCACATCATTAGATTCTTTCTAGGGATGTTATGTATTTTTCATTCCCAAAGTAAAGGATCTATGTCACTGAAGACTGAGTGGTGCAGACCTACAATCCCAACATTCAAGAGGCTGAAGAAGGATGTTCATGAGCTCTGTGCCAGGCAGAACTACAATATAAGACTCTATCTCAAAAAATAGAAGAAAGATATATAAATAGAAAATGTAATTTCAGATACACATGTGCATTTATAGGAGTGTGACTTGAAGGGAGGTGGTTTGAAAGAATTTGTTATAATTTGAATGCACTATTCCTCATACCAAAGAATTATATTTGTGGCTCTGTATTCAATTCAAACTTCATATAGAAAAGTGAATATACATTAAAGGACACTTGCTGCAATATCAGCTAAAGAACTGAAATGTGATTCATTGTTCTATTGAATATGCTGCAAAAGTACTTTTATTGTTTTATTTTTGTCACTGCTGTTTTGGGATTTGTTATGGTTTGGAGTGTAATAAGTCAATGTGTTTTCTGTATATGGAAGTTTTATATCATGTTTTCTGCATGAAAAGTTGTATCTACAACCATGTGTCATATTATCTGAAAATTGTATAGGATCTAACAGGAGGTAAAAGGCATAATATGTGGGATGGTTCTGAACTCAATCTTTCCCTTGCAGGTGACCAGTGGGAAGTTAATTGACTTCTCTGAGTCCTCTTTGTACAGTGGAAGCAATACAAGTACTTATATTTGCATGATGGTTACATTTCATACAGAACAGATGGACAGTACTTACACAGCACCTAAATGACTTCTGGAACATGTGTCATTTAAATAGTTTAAGAATCCACATGACAGAAACACTCTAAACTGAAGTGTGCCGTTCTTTTGGAGAGGATAATAACAGTGGTCTGTGTATTGCTCTTAATTTTTTGAAATTATAAACTTTATTATTTGCAAAAAACACTGAAAACAAAAACATCACTTTGCTGTTATATATATATATATATATATGAGTGCATTTTAACATAAATTCACATACCTGTGGTTTATTTTATCTCTTTAGAAATAAACATCTAAGCAAAAAAACAATAAAGTGAGATATATGGTATCTCAATTACACTGTACCTATGTGTACTAGTTGTTGATCCTAAAAATTATGATACAGTTCCAGTGATATACTGAAATACTGGACAAGTAAAACATTTGAGATGCCCAGAAATGCAGATGAATAAAATGTAATGTCAATGTGACTCCATCAAGGCATTATGCTACCACTGTTAGCATGGAGAATTTACACTGTGTGTGCCTGTGTATGATGTGGTGTGTGTGTGTGTGTGTGTGTGTGTGTGTGTGTGTGTGTGTGTGTGTGTGATGGTGTACATGTAGAAGTAAGAATACAACTTTATGGATTCAGTTCTCAATGTTTCATCTTTAAATGGGTTGCTAGGATACAACTTAAATTTATCAGGCTTGCCTGAAAGTGCCTTTGCTTGCTTAACAAACTCTCTAGTTTCTATATTTAAATATCTTGCATGCCATTCAAAAGGAAAAGACTCTTCAAGTCCCATGACTGTGACTTAGGCATTCAGCAGATAATTGTCATATTAAAGAAATCTGATAGAGGAGGCAAAGTAAGGAATGCTGTCTTCCTGGACCTGCGCTGCAGCACAGAGTGGGGTAAATGTCTCTTAGTTGCTTATGCAAGCAGGGAAGAGCTCAGCATATAAAACCTGATATCTTCTGGGGCAATTGGAGCTGACAGCAACTGTAAACTTCTAATAATTGATTCTGGCCTTACAGTCTGGCAGCTACTGGGTATGGAGGTAGACTTTTAACAATTGCTTCCTGCCTTATAGCCAGGCAGTTATGGTGAACAAAGGCTAGTTTCTAGCAATTGCTCCTGTGTCACTCCCTGCATTGTATTAGCTTCACCTATAACTGTCCTCCTATGTGACATTCTTTCAGGGAAGGAGAAAAGCAACTAAGTAAAGATAGCCACAGGCTTTCACAAATATCTTAAATTTGCACGCTGTAATCAAAAGTCGTAAATTTTAAAATGTAATGTCACTTTAAGTTTACCACCCAGATTATAAAAGCTCTTAGACCCGCACCTGGTGCTTGATTTTTCCTACAAGAAGAGGCTCAAAATCGTCACAGTGTCAGCAGCCTGAACTCTGACCAGAGGCCCCAAGGATCTGAAAGTCTCTTTTTACCTCACAGTGACTGGAATAAAATTTGCTTCTGGTTCATAGACATTGAAGATATATATGTTCTCCATTATTCACATGCCTCTGGGACCCAACAGTCAGGGCTGAATCAAGAGAACGGGTATGAAAACAGTCATAGGTCTCCTAGCCTCACATTAATGGGCTGCATACTGGGCTGAGATGTAATTTTTCTTCTAAACTGTTACCTCCAGAGTAACTACACATTCTCTATCAAAGCTGACAAAACTTACCTTCTATGGAAGAATCAGCATTAATATAAGCCACACCACGTTCTTGGAGGAGTCTGGAATGTTCCTATAACAAGATTTTTTTTAAAAAATCATTTAAGCTTAATATAACTCTCTCCCACCCAAGCCGCATCTGCCTTTCTTGTATGAAGATGTTTGAATAGAATTAGCTCATGTGTCCCACGAATTTGACATATAGTCGAAAAAGTTGGATTGAGAAAGGATTGCAGTGGTTGCCAGCGAGAAACAAGAAAAACGTTTTCTAAACTACTTTTGAGAGGATGAACTGCTTACGCACAATAGTTGAAAACGGAGTGGGGATTTTGAACATGCAAACCAACATCATTTTTCTCAGTAAACATCAATTTAGGAGTCTTTTCAGTAGAAATATACTTTAAAAGACACTGCCATTATTTATGCAGAGGTGATTTCCAAGATTCACATTAACAAAACAAAAAAAGAGCTGTTTCCAATTTACTAGTTAAGAAATTTAGTGTGGCCAAAGCCAATATCTCTTGTGTTATATTGCCACCTACTGGTTATTTTCACTGATTGCACATTTTTAGAACTAAGAACTAACAACAACTTGACCTACAAGTTGGGTCTCTAAAACATGTGTTTCCTGAGAATTTTGGTTCTAAACAAAAAAAAAATTCATAAAGGTATATGCAACTCAGAGTGATAAAAAACAATATAATCATAGTGAAGTGGTAAGGGGCAGCATCCTAGGCTAAATACAGATGCTGAAAACCAACAAAACAATAACGACAACAACAATAATTCTATAGAGACAAGTTGCTCCCTGAAATATTCATAGGTTTGCTTGGTTCCAGGATGAAACTTCCTTTTAGATAAACACTTCACCTTGATCAACATGAATAGAGCATGTTTTCAGAGACCCTGTCACATGAGCATTCAGAGTAGCAAGGGGACCTGACAGAACAGATGGCAATGCTGCCTGCATTTATATCCTTGTCTCATCAAGCCAATTATAAATTCCAATGGAGTTATTATTCAGGGGCCCTGCAATACTCTGTCTGTCTCACTGTCTGCAGGAGACCACGGGTATAAAAAATAAATGTAAACCAGGCCTTAATGTAGAATCTGAGGGTTCAGTAAGTAGTATTGCAGTTGTTTGGGGTGGTGTGAAAGAATCACATTAGAAACTCTCATGTACTTTTTTGTATTTGGTGTCCAGTACACTGATTTATTCACTGTATTGCATTGTCAGAGAAAAATTATTTTCATTAGTTGACATTAGGCGTTTCTCAAAAATCAAATAAAACTGAATACTTAAAGTAAGATAATTTGGTTGATTTTTTTAATTATTGTATTTTATTGATTGATTTACTGCTTTTTTGCATGCTATGTAACTCATATGCCATAACTCATATGTGGTAGACTGAGGACAGATTGCAGCTGTCAATTCTCTCCTCCCACCCTATGGGTCCCAAGAATTGGACTAAAAGTCACCAGCTTGGCAGTAAGTGCCTTTACCAGCTGAGTTATCTTGCTGCCCTCTTGTAGGTTTTTGAAGAACGATGCAATCCTTTGAGATAATTAGGCATGTGCAACCTTTGCTTATGAACCACATGCAGCCAAGTATAGGAATAAATGGGGTTCAATAGAAAATCATAAATGTTCTTAAAACATTATGAGATTATTTTAATTCAGTGATTATTTTTTAAGAATATCTTGATTGTGTGATCCTTCAGAATGAATTTTGTCTACAAGGTATTATGTTGCTCTATCAGAATACACATCAGCAACATTTTAGAAAAACTCTAAGCATTGCCTAACTGGAATCACTTTTTATCTTTCCAAGCTTTACAAAAGAATTCCCATCTGCTTTGGCACTTGGACAAATTAATATGGAAGCAAATTGTCGACCTACCTCTGCCCACTCGGTAGAACCAAGAAGGCCATATTCTTCTGCATCCCAGCTTGCAAACAGAATTGTTCTTCTAGGCCTCCATCCTAAAATGCACATGAATAACACAAAATTTGCCAGTATTTATATAAAACTATAGCATCCACCCAAGACAAGGAGAAGTCTATAAGATGGGAAAACCCAAAATGCTGTTGGTTTCCACTTAGAAAGTAGTAGTATGGCTCACATCCTTACTTATACAATTTCCTTTTGTATGTTTTAGAAATGGGGTGCTCAAATTCTCTGCATCACCATGGATCAACCCTTAGGCAGGACAGGCTATAGATCCAAGGTTTTGTGGCTGGGTTGATGTCTCAATTCCTCCACTGGAAGTCTTGAATTGTCGTAGGAGATGGTAAGTTCAGGCTGTCTATCCACTGTTGCTACAGTTATTAGCTATTGCTATCCTTGTTGATGTCTGTGAGTTTTTCTTATCCCAGGATTTTGTCTGGCTATGAAATGTTGTCCCCTTTCTAGTCATGCCTTTTGAAACTCTCCCCCTCCATTCCCTATCCAACCTAATCACTGATGTTCACTTGTCCATCTGCCCTTATCTCCCCATGAAATATAATCTATCTCCCATTGCCAGGGAGATCTAAGTGCCTGCCACACCATTTAGACTGCCTTGTTACCCAGATTTCCTAGGTCTGTGAAATGTAGATAGCATGGTTATCCTTTACATTAAAGCCAAAATCCATTTTAAGTGAATACATGCCATGTTTGTCTTTCTGGGTCTGAGTTACCTTACTCAGGATGATTTTTTTCTAGTTCCATCCATTTGCCATCAAATTCCACAATATTTTGCTTTTAACAGCTGAGTAATAATCCATTGTGTAAATGTTTCACAATTTTTTTTTATCAATTCTTCACATTAGGGACATAAAGGCTGTTTCCAGGTTCTGGCTATTTAGAATAAAGTTGCTATAAATAGAGTTGAGTATGTGTCCTTGTGGTATGACTGAGCATCCTTTGTGTATACGTCCAAGAGTACTTTAGCTCGGTCTTGAGGTGTATTGATTCCCAGTTATTTGAGAAAGCATCACATTTATTTCCAAAGTGTCAGTACAAATTTGCAGTCTCACCAGCTGTGGAAAAATGTTCTCCTCACTCCACGTCCCTGCAAGCATGAACTTTCCCTTGTGGTTTTGATCTTAGCCATTCTTACAGATGTAAGGTGCAATCTCGGAGTCATTTTGACTTGCTTTTCCCTGATGTCTATGAATCTTTAAGTGTTTCTCAGCCATTTGAGATTCTGCTGTTGGGAATTCTCTGTTTAGGTTTCATTGGGGTCTTTATATGTGTTGGGCCTAAGAAAAGCTTGGATGCAAGGCCCAGTGTAAGCTCCTGAGCCTGACTTGAGTTTTGGGCTCGGATGTGAGGCCCAGTGTAACCTCTTGAGCCTGGCTAGAGTTTAGCGACCTGTCTCTAACCTGTAACCTCCACGTGGGGGTGACTCAGCCAGATCTGATGCAAGATTGCCCCCTGCCTAGCTACCTGCCTGTTTGGTGGAATACTATTGGCCCTTAACTCCTCATGTCGCCTCACCCTATCCCAAGTTTCCCATCCCCTACCTCAGTCTTATATAAGTTCCTGTGTGTTGGAATAAATCGAGATCCTGCTTCGACAGACTCTGGACTCAGTGTGGTTTTTTTCTCCCTGGTAACTAATGGGGGAAGGGTCTGAGTTGTCGACACTCACCATCCTGCTCAGCCCCCGGGAAGAAGCCACTGGCTGGACCGGCCCTTCCCCCCCCCCACTCTACCTGCAGGGAGGACCCTGCATATATATTTTTATATATTTTGGAAATCAGCCCCCTGTCAGATATAATGTTGAAGATTTTCCTATTCTGTATATTTCTGTTTAGTCCTATTGACAGTGTCCTTTGCCTTAGAGAAGATTTTCAGTTAAGTGAGGTCCCAATTATTATCTGGAAATCTTAGTGACTGGACTAGTGGTGTTCTGTTCAGGAAATTTTCCCCTATGCCATTGCCTTTAAGTGTATTCCCCCTATTTTCTCTGATATCACTTTAAGTGTATATGGGTTTATGTTGTGGTCTTTGATACAATTGGAATTGAGTTTTGTACATGGTGTTAGATGGGTCTAATTGTATTCTTCTACATGATGACATCCAGGTATACCAGCACCATTTGTTGAAGACCCTTTCTGTTTCTCGTGGTATAATTTTGGCTTATTTGTCAAAGATTAGGTATCCATAGGTGTATAGATTTACCTCTGGATCTTTGGTTTGGTTCAAGTCCATTGATCCACTTATCTGTTTTCATACCAGTACCTTGAGTTTTCTATTACTATAATATTATATATGTGGCATATTACATATAATATAACGTAGTATATTATGTAATATAAACTATTTTAAAATAATAAAAATATAATTAACCAACATTAATGTTTGCACTGCCCTTGTTATTAATTTATTGTCATTGTTGAACCCATATTCATTAATTTGGCTTCCTATTGTGTATCGCAGATTGAAAAGAAATCTTCTTGCACACAAGGTACATGGTCTAACATGGCACTACTTCCCAGCCCCCCAAATAATATAACAATCATTGTTCAAACTGAAATTTACAGAATTTGTCTTTTTACTCACTGCTTCTCTTACCTTCCTTCTTCAGTGTTCCAAAGCTCCTCACAATTTCATGAACAACAGCTGCTCCACTCTGAGGGTCAATGCCACCAAAGACCCAGGCATCTCTGTGACCTCCAAGAATGACATATCTGTCTAGACATCAGCAGAGCAAGGGTTACAACCAGAGCAGATTGCAAATAACTGAAAAACATTCACAACTCAAAGCAAAAATACCAAATTTCCTAAGTCTTAGGTTATTTGCTCAGATTTCAGTATTAGTTTCATCTATGTGATGAAATTATGAATGTGATTTAGAAACCAATTCAATGTATTATTTAAGTAATAAGCATACAGACAACAGGAAAATATGAAACTATCTCTTTATACCTCGTTAAAATTATCTGATATCTGTTGCCACTTTGAATCTATCATTTTCAGAGAGTACACAATTCTCTTCCTAGTCCTATTTTATGTCCCAATAAATAAGTGTTCTTCTTCTATGACACTTTCTGTCTGCTATAGGAAGAGGAAACTGCTTGGGCTGGATGTTTAGGGCGGCAATCTTTCCGTATTTGTTTAGATTTGTATCATTCTTAAATGTTGGACTCTTCTTTTTTATGTGTCTATTTTTTCATTTATATTTAAATTAGAAACAAGCTTGTTTTACATGCCAATCTTAGTTCCCTCTCCCTCCCCTCCTCTCCTACCCTCCCACCAAGCCCCTATCCCATCACCTTTCTGCTCCCCAGGGAGGGTGAGGCCTTCCATGGGGGATCTGCAAAGTCTGTCATATAATTTGGAACAGGGCCTAGTTCTGCCCCCATGTATCTAGGATGAGAGAGTATCCCTCTATGTGTAGTGGGCTCCCAAAGTCCATTTGGATACTAGGGATAAATACTGATCCACTACCAGAGGCCCCATAAATTGCCCAAGCCTCCTAAGTGACACTCAGCTGGGGGCAGGGGGAGGAGAGACATGAGGGACCAGGAAGATTAGGATACCATAATAGAGGGCGCCATTATAGGTTTAAAGAGAATTCTGCCACTAGAGAAATGTCCAGAGATCTACAAGGATGACCACAATTAACAATCTAAGCAGTACTAAAGAGTCTACTTTAAATGTCCTTCCCTGGACTCTGCTTTTAAATTATGATCTTCTTGTCCCTAGTTTATGTGTGTTTCAACCCCCCATTCAAAAAATTATCACAGTCCCTTCCTCTGTGTGTGTGTGTGTGTGTGTGTGTGTGTGTGTGTGTGTGTGTGTGTGTGTGTGTACTGGTCAGGTTCTTTGTTTTCTTTTTACTCTGTTTAGTTTATTTTATTTACTTTTCATTTTAATTTGTTTGTATGCTTGTTTTCTAAAGGAAGATAAAAACAACACATGAAATTTTATAGGTAGGAATGTGGGGAGGATATAGTAGGAAATGAGGAAGGATAAATGTGTTTAGAATATACTCTATAAATTATGTTTTCAACAAATAAAGAAATAGTGCTGCTTACCACTCTCATCCATCCTCTCACATTCATTTTTCTTTTCTTGCAACATATATGACAATATACTCTACCCAGAATATCTTACTCTGTGTTTCAGTGAGCTTCATTAAGACAGAAACTTGAATGCTTTGGTTTATTTTGCACCCAGAGTAGGAGTGGTACATAATATTTGATTCACCAACATATGCCAAACATATGCCCCATTTACCTGGTTCAATGGCTCCTTTGAGTGTGCCAATGACATTATAGATTCTTGTCACTTTACTGTAGGAGTGTATGTGCAGCTTGACTTTTCTGATTCAAAGGCAAAGAACACAATCTTTGAAAATAGTTGTTACAGATTTAACACCCACACTTGTTCACTGTATCATTATTATTTTTGAAATTTTCTGGTTGTAAATTGGAGGAAAACAATATGTGCTAATTTTAGTAGTATAAAATCATTGTCCTATTCAACTTGTAGTTTCATTTCTTAGTGGTACTGACTAGGATTTACATGTTTTTCATCTTCTATGAATGTTACCTTTCAAAGCCCTCTGTTTAAAATGATTATAATAACTTAACTGTTTTGAAAAGTCTCCAGCAAAACCAGGTCCCACATTGTAAGGCACATTGAGACCTCCTTTCCAGCTGCTGTCAGGGGGTGCTGGACCACCCATGTGTCTGTTAGGCATTGAAAAAATTATTAGTTGGATAAACTTTAATATAGCAAGTTAAAATACAAAGTAATCCACTGTCTAGGGCATCTTAGTTTCCATGAGTGAACAACAGAGCAAAGTGCTTTGCATGTAATAATACACACTGAACTTTCCGCCACTCCTGTAAGGCAGTAACCACTATCAATTCCACTTTGCAGATGAGGAACTTGAGGACAAGGTGAACTCATAGCAATGGCCAAAATTATGGTGAAAAGAGATATGGTTGGTATTCTAATTATTTACAAGAACCCCCAAAGTGTGTTACTAATTGTGTAAAGATAAACCATGTATTTCTTGAGTTTTTCTTTTGTTATTGTTATTGTTTTCTTCATGTTTTTTAATTGGCCTGTCTGTTTTCTAAAAAGAGAGAAAGAAGGTATGTAATTGAATGTATAGGAAGTTGAAAAGGAAATGAGAGGAGAATAGGAATGGAAAGCCATGATCAGAACATAGTGTATGAGAAAACAATGTACAATAGGAAAGTAATATAATTTTGGAAGATAGCGAGATAGGCTCATTGATTATGAGAACTTGTTCTTCTTGCAGTGGACCTTAATTTTGTTCCCATCACCTACGTGTTGGCTCACAAACATCTGTAACTCTAATTCCAAGGGATATGATGCCCTCTTCTGATCTCTGTGAACACGAGGCAGGCAAGCAGACAGTACACATACATACACATAGGTAAAACACTGGTACACAAAAAATTAAACATCTTACAAATAAAATAAAAAATAAATATCTCTGAACACAACTGACAGCAGTTCTGACTGCAGGCAGGAAACCTACATATAAGATTAGGAAACCTACATATAAGAGGAGACCAAGTATAAAGTTGTGAGAAGGTCAGAGTGCCCTATTATCAGTAACTGTTGTAATTGATTGCTGGTAAAGGTAGAGTTATATTTCTTTAGGAATATGTCTCCAGGTAGACCATGTGCTCTCATAAAAATCTATGAACATACTGAAAGTCCTAATTGAACTCTTGGGATTTAAAGACAAAAAAGTAAGAAAAGAGCACATGAAGTTTGGAGGGGACAGTGGTGGTGGGACAGGGGTGAACCTGGAGGGGAGTAAATAGAGTAGGTGATGGATTTCACCAAAACATAGTAATATAGATGCATGAAAGTCTTAATCAACAAAAATCATTAAGATTATCTTTTATTAGAATATATTTAAAAGTGTAATCTGTTTTCAAAACTCTATGAAAGAGTATATCTGCCCTCTCCTTTTTCCCTATCTCACTAGTTTGGCTAATAGAATTTCAGAAAATGAACTACAAAATGTATTTAGTGTATTTTTCACTAAAAAGCATGAAATGTGTACGGAGATGACTTGGTTGGTATATACTGCTGAATAAGCATAAGAATGTGCATTTGAACCTGTAGAGATGCTACGAAAGCTGAGTGAGATGACACGTCAGTATCCCAAGTAATGTGAGAGAGGGAAACAAGTGAATCCTGAGGTGTGGTGGCCAGTCAGTCTTGTCAAGTATTTGAGTTTCAGGTTCAGTGGGAGATTTTGACTCAAAACAGAAAGAGTGGGCATCCATAGAGGTAGACACATGACACTGACCTCTGGGCTCCATAAGTTCATGTGCAGGAAAGCATACACACACATACACAAACACACACACACACACACACACACACACACACAAATAATTGAAAAGCATACATAAGGTTTAAAAAGATTTATCCACATTGCTAGAGAGTACAATTCACACTCAAAACAACAGAGTATTCAAGATAACAAAATATTACTGGACATAATTATACTCATTATATTGTGAATATATTTTGACAAGTATGTATTAATTAATAGAGCTTTTGAAATAGAAATCGGTAAAGAGAAACTTCATTATAAATAGCACACACACATAAGTCTATACATATAAATATAGCCTATACCCTCAAGAACACACAAACATAACAATTAAACAAAACAGAATAGTTATATAAAATCTAAAGATGATCAAAGAAACACAAGCATGGAGACTAGAAGTTTTAGTTAATGAATATTACTAATGAATATATTTACTACTCACTCATCCAGGCAGCAAAACCCTCAAGGAAAATAAAAACCTTAAATGTTAAAAGGCACCATTAATTAATTTTTAAAATATCTTAGGATTTAACAAATGTTAGATAATTGAGGAATACATAAAATAGCCCTTTTTTAAAATGGTGTAATACAGCTCATTCATTTTGATATCATCATTTCCCAAGCATTTATTGTCTGCTGTGATAAATGTACTATGTTCTTCTTATTAATACAAATACATGTAAAATATGATCTTTCCACCTAGGAGTTTAAGTCACTCATAAGAAACACACACAACCAATGACAATAGAAAACTGAACACTATCAAATTTTATTACAGAAACCTTTACTGCTATAGACCATATAAAAATGAGTGGTTAATTTAGCCAGTAGGATGAGGAACACATTTCAAAATAAGGTTTCACACATATGGATTTTAAGTAAATAACATGAAAAGATGAAGGTGTTTGGAAAAGTGTGAAAGGAAGCCAGGTAAGGAGTATAGAGCAAGAACAAGTGATAGATGATATTGCTGCAGTCCCTAGCCCCTAACCTCCTCTGTTCCCCATAACTACCCCTCCATTTTCCTTCAGAAAAGAACAGATATCAAGAAAGCATTGTATATAAAGTTACAGTAAGACTAGGACCATACCATCATATCAAGGCGGAAGAAGGCAACACAGTAGGAGGGAAAGATTCTCAAAAGCAGGCCAAGGAGCCATAGATAGCCCCTACTTCCACTATCAGGAGATTTTTATCAAAGTAAATCTGTTATATTTATGTAACTCAAAAACTGTACACCAGAGAAAATGAATATTACATTGGCAAGAAATTCATACACAGATTTCCACAGTTTCTTCTTTTATAACAACAAAAACAAAGAACAACCTTAGTTGCCCTTCAACTAGTCAATGTTTAAACACACTGCAGTATCATCATGTGATGAAATATTTTAGTAATACAAAAACGGAACTTCATGCACAAAACAGCCCACTTAGAAGCTTAGAGTTTTTTAATCAAATAATTATTTTACCTCAGTTAGGACAAAATTAATAGTTATCTTTTTATCCAGTCCAAAGAATTTGTAGTCATGACTAAATAAATCTTATATCTAATTCAATGGAATTTTATGCACTGTCTTTATTATACAAAGAAAATATTGGGTCTATAACTGAAATCATATGATATATTATTTTGAAAAAATCTACTTTTCAACTTAATCTATCACAAAAATATTCCATGTTATTAAACATTATTACCCAATATTATTCTGTATTCCATTGCTTTATACAGTATCATAACCGATGACATGTTTGAAGGGGCAGAAGGTTTACATTATTTGCATCATTCCACTACCAAATAATCTTATAATATTTATCTTTAATATGAATGTTTAGGTTTAATTTTTCAATACATTTATCTAAATGCATATCCCATGGTGCTTGTAAAAGTTGTACCACATACTTAATCATAACCCAAGTGGTACAGATAAGAGCCCAAATTTTTAAAATGACATGCCCTTAGATTGTACACATAGCTCTGACTTCCGGATATAGGGATCCTCACTTGTGAGACTTGTGCCCTTAAACTATCTCATAAAATGCTTTCTCATTGATGCGATAATCAAATGATTAAAAATGCTTTGAGATAAGGCATGATGAGCACCCTTGTAGTTCCAGGACCTGGAAGGCTGAACCAGGATTACTGAAACTAAGCTTTGATTCTAACAACTTCACATTCATATAAATTTCTTCTCCTTTCTTCTAAAGGGAAGTGAACCATGAAGGGCAACACAGAAGTGAGAGACTAGAACAGGAAAGGGGGATAAGAATAAGAATGAATTTTTTAAAAAATGAATGAATGCAGAAAGAGAACAGAAATACAGATTAAAAACTGAACATTTGTGACTCTTACATTATTATTCTGTTCCTCAAAGAAATAGAAGCCCAAAAATAAGATTGAAAAGATTGATTAATAAGAGATATATTGAGAAAAGTTTGGGAAAGTGACCACAGGCTTTTGCCTTGTATCATTCTGATACAAGGCAAAAGTTAAAGGGAGGGAAAAATGAAAGATGCAATGACAGTACGACATTGATCAAGGCCATCAAAAAGTCATCAATTAACAGCCTTGCCTCTAATAAGTATTATGTGTCTTGAAAAAGCCTATCTGATCCATGACACAAGTAGCCACTGATTGCCTGAGAACATGAGGGAATTATGAATGTGTCACAAACAGGGAGATTGTTCTCTCAACAACATGGTTCCAGGAATTATCAAAAATTTGCCCTACAGCTGGATATTCAGAATGATCATTTTGATGCCTGTCACACATTGGATATCCAAACACAAAACAAATTCCAGAATCAGAATTAGAATTCTTTGAAATTATGTAAACATTGTAAAATACATCCATAATGAGGACAGAGTACCAAAACTTGAAGATTAAAGTAAAACTTTTGAAAATTCTCAAGAATGAAAAATACCAAAGCAGGGATCTTTCATTTTTCTTTGTCAAACTTACTCAAGGAGTTTCTGTGCATCATCATATCCAATTGGATGGACAGGAATACTTGGAAGTCCTACAGCTTCTGTCAACTCATGCCTATATGCATATTCTGAGAAAAAAAAGTGTATTTGTCACTAAAAAGTCTTTTTCAAAAAAATTTCTGCATATAAGATTAAACACATTCTTTCATATATTTTAGAAATGGTAAAATTCCAAATGCCAAAAAATATGGAGAAATTGAAGCTCATATAAGCTTGTGAGAGTATGAAGTCACCTAATGGTGTAGAATAACGCTGTTAAAAGTACTAAACAAATGGTTTATTGAGCATTTCCATTGATAATTATTGACCCAAGAAGAGAATTGAGAGAAAGAATATAAGTAGTGACAGATAAAACTAAGGACCATTTGAGGAGCCGTGTAGAAACTTAACACTTAGAAGATTCTTAAAATATATACACAGTGAAAGAAATCTCAATGGAATCACCTAATAATGGCAGGGAGAAAGGCCCAGCTAAACATCTCTCATCACCAGTGCTAGGAATGGGTTACCTTTAATTGAGTTTTTAACCAAATGGGGCCCGTGGGAATCTGCAAATTACACAGACTATAATCATGACTATTAGTTGTTCTCCACAAACTGATGGTAAGGCCCTGCTGCTGAAAACAATATCTACACAACTCACTGAAGATGGACAAGTTGAGTTGGGGACTATAGAGCCTTAACTCTTGCAGACTAGTGTTCACAGGACTCAAAGGTACTCTACATGGAGGAAGGTAAACACTGACCCAACTGTAAAAATGCTTCAATCTAAAATAATGAATGACCCACTGCAAGATGAACTATTGAAATCGAGGCACAAAACTTGTATGAGAAACAAAACAATATCTGACTGGATTTAAAGGCCACTTGATAAGTTAAACCCTGATCTGTCTTCTAACCTATGATTCCCTCTTCCCCCTATCCTACCCCCCCTAGTCAACTTTCCTGTTCCTCCACGACCTACTCTCTCTTCCACTTCTCCCCCCTCTCTATTTCCCAGGTACCATTGTGATCTCTAGTGATCTAAAGGGATGACACCAATTGGCAAGCTAAGCAATAGTGTAGAGACCACCTCGAATGCCTATTCCTGATAGTGAACTTGATGTCTATAACCATCCTGGAGCCTTCATCCAGTGACTGATGGAAGCAAGGCAAGCACCCACAGTTAAATACTGAACAGAACCCAAGGAACCCAGCGACAGAGAGAGAGTAGAGATGAGCAAACTGGCAAAGAATGGGCTGGCAAAACCAGCAGAGACAGCTGATCCGAACAGGAGAGAGCTCTTGGACCCCAGACCGACAGCTGGGAGGCCAGCATGGGACCGATCCAGACCCCCTGAATGTGAGAGTCAGTGAGGAGCCCTGGGCTACCTATGGGGTCCTGAGCAGTGGATCAGTGTTTATTCCTCGAACACTAACAGACATCGTGTGTCCATAACACAAAGAGGGTTGCTCTCTCTGACTCTTAGGGAAGTGCCTGGACCCTACCCTGAGTGAAATGATAGACTCTAGATATCCCCTATGCGAAAGGAACTGGCAATAGGGTAGGAGGATGGGGGGGATGGTGGGGGGGTGCAGGAGGAGGGGAGGGAGAGGGAACTGGGATTGACGTGTAAAGCAAGCTATTTAAAATTAAAATAAAAAAAAGAGAGAGAAAAAAATAAGTTAAACCCATCTGTGACACTGCCCCCATGTGGCCAAGAACCTGAAGTTGGATAGGCCAGGGACCTAAAGGAAAACCAAACACTACTTTTCTGATAAAGAAACGTACCAATAAAATGACACTCTTCTATACTCATAGATTGGTTTCTTGCTCAAACATCATCAGGGAAGCTCTTTCTACAGCAGAAGGGACCAAAAGCAAAAACCACAATAGGAAAATGTGCAGAGAATGAGAGACCTTGGGACATTCAATCCTAACATGGATGTCTCCATCGCATCCCTTCCTTCAGGGGTCAGAAAATCCTCTGGAAGAGGAGTCAGAAAAAATTTAAGAGCCAGAGGTGATGAAGAACTCCAAGAAAATAAGGATTTCTAAACCCAGCATGATCCATTCATGTATGAACTCACAGAGACTATGGCAGCATACAGATGACCTTCCCAGGTCTGTGCCAGAAGAGGACTTAGAGCTGAAATGAGAAGTAGGAAAAAGCTCCCAGCCTTAACCCAGAAGTTATCTCCAATTGATAACCAAACACACTGAAAAAAATCAGTTTTCTCCAAGGGAATTTCTCTGGGGATACAAACCATTCTTAAGGGCAGACTTAATGCCCAATAGCAAATGGCAAACAGAAAATGTAGTAAGTTTCATCTTTATAGATATTTTTGTCTTAATCTTTTTTTCAGGAGACTCTTTTTTAACCCTATAGGCCTAGTACATATATATGTATTGCTTCCAGTTTTGCATTTTGGGGTTATCCCCGTGTGGAAAATGTGTGTGTCTTGTGTGGCAAATGTATGTGCCTCTGCATCTATTGTGTTTCTTGTTCTTTTTCTTTGGCTCTTTTTCTTCTATTTGCTTGTCCTATTCCAATTTATTTACTCTTATTTCATCTTATTTTGTTTTGTTATTATTTGGATAGCTGTACAGTTTCTAATGAGAGATACAATGTTTGTTCAGTAAGGAGGGAAGGTGGTGAAGATCTCAGAGGAATTGGGAGAGAGGAAATATATTGTATTCCATGAAGTGGTTTTGCATGCCTTTAATACCAGCACTAGGGAGGCAAAGGCAGCAGAATCTCTATGAGGTCAAGGCCAACATGGTCTACAAAACTACAAAGAGAAATCCTGGCTCAAAACAAACAAACAAAATCTATTTACAATGAAAGAAAAATTAAAACACAAAATTTAAGCAAACATAATAGGGTATAACACACAAATAATATCTGTAAGGATTACATTCCTTCCCCCTAAAATTCCATCACTTTAAATGCTCAAATCATAAACAGAAATTCCAGTTAATTTAAATTTTATTTTCCCAATATTAGCTTAATAGAAGGAACTTAAATTGGAATAGGTTCGTATTTTTTAGTGCAAAAAAGGAAAAGTTAGAATAAATAAAGTCATGCTGGGCAATGTTCTGTTTAATACTTGGGGTTTTTCTTTTTCATATTCTGTGAAAGTTTCTTACATTTATACAATTTATCTTGATCGTATTCATCCCTACTCCCTCCAACTCCCCATGAGTCTCCACATGCTTTGCTTTATCTATTTTATGTGTTTTATTAAAAACTCACTGAGCCAAATTAATTCTGCTCATATGTAAATGGGCATGAGAAGCCTAGCAATAGTCACACACCACCAATGTGACTCTACTTTATGGTAAACTATATAAAGAATGAAAACAGCTATGACAGTGCTATGTGTTTTATGAAAAGTTTGCAAACCCTCTAAGCACAAAACTTTGGAGAAATATACAATTTAATGAAGCAGAGATGAAAAATAAATATGTAAGTGTCATGGGTATTTTGACAAACTCCTTTTTCCAAGTTATGAGAACTTGCTCTGTCCCAAGCTATGCAAACTAAATGAACACAGATTTTATAGATATCATCTGACAGTTAAATGCATCCAAAGCAATTTATCTGTTTAATTAATGTTTGGCCAGGCAGCATTTCAGCAAAAGACAAAAATGTGGACTCCAAGGCCACACTGGGACTTTGAACTCCAGTACCCTGCTTAGTGGTGTGATGATCGTGGGCAGACTGCTTACATCTAGTCTCAATTTCCTCCGAGCCAGAGAACAGAATACCCCCTTGTCTGTAAGGTTGCTGAGGCATGCAAATTTAGAAAACACTACTTGGTAATCATCACTTACCTTTGAAAAGAAGCAAGAGCTGCTGTAACCTTAGTGTGCTATCTCACCACTTTATAAGACATTTTGCTATTCTGTTCCTTACTAGAAAAGCAAAATCTGTACTCATGAGAATTATAAGTTTTGAGTTAATTTCTTTAAGAAGAAAAATCAACCTGATCAAAACTCATAGGCACAAAAGAAAGATCAGACAGGAACAGACATGTCTACTTACATTCCTTTTAACCCATGTTCATTGTTGATAATCACAACTGTTACAGAATTGTTTTAAATATATTCTTGTTATATTCTACTTCTACCCTATGTATCAGGCATTGCATTATACATGAACCATATTATATGTCAATATCTGAAAAATTCTGAATTCCAAACCTATCAGGTCCAAGTCTTAAAATATGGGGTAAGGAACATGAACCAATGATTTTTGGAATTTGAAACATTCTATTTCTATGATTCAGAAGGAATGAGAAAAATATATCCTTAGAAATTCTTTACAAAAATCATTTGAAACAGTGAATTTCTTAATGATTGTTTGGGTCTGACCACTCACCATTGGCTGGATAACCTGGTGTGAGGGGATCACCTGCACCATTAAGATTTAAAACATTCCCACGCTGGACACCACCTCCAGGGAGGTTCCAGCCATCTGGATAGGACTTCACCCCAGGAACAAAGTAGTCAGCAGGGTCTGAGTACAAAATGACTCCTTTCGCACCTGCCAGTTGAGCATTTTTAACCTAGAAAACATGGCATTTCTTTTCTCAGTTTAGGTTATGCTACTCCAGACTTAGAAATAGCAGAAGGAAAAATTACATTGAGTGAATAGCTATGCTTTAGATTTTGTTTCAAAGATCTAGTCTCACTGAGTTTCCAAGGCTGAACGTAAATCCACTCTGTAACCCAGGAAGACCTTGAACTTGTAATCCTCCTGCTTTAGCCTCTCAACAGGTTATAGTTATGTGACCCTAGGCCTAGATGCTACTACACAATCTCAAAGGTGATGGGATTGCATAGTATCAGACCTGGAAAATTCCCATCACAGTGTGAGCAAGGATTTACTGTTCCCTCTGATTTTCTAGAAGCATAATAAACAAGTAGAATCCCCAAACAAATTTCAATTAAATATATGTCAGTAAGGGAATATTTTGATTTTTCATTTCCTATAACAATGATCCACATGAAATTTACTTTAGTAATTCTTTGAAGATAATTAAAATAGCTACTGTAAATTAGTCAAAAACCAGTGTGATATTTTTTCATGCTTTTAAAAAAAGATTTATTTACTATGAAAACAGCATTCTATCTGCATGTTTTCCTGCACACCAGAAGAGAAGCTGTGAGCCACCATGAAGTTGATGGAAATTGAAGTCAGGACCTCTGGAAGAGCAGTAAATGCTCTTAACCTCTGAGCCATCTCTCCAGCCACTAAATCAGAAAAACATGCAGTTACAGGAAAACCTGTTGCATACACTCTTGTCAATAATGTAAGAATTTCAAGGACACAAATCAAAAACACTTTCTATATGTTAGTTGCCTTCCTTGTAAGGTTAGAGTGTATAGAATCAAGAGAAAAATAATCTCAAATAATTTCAAGGATATATATAGTTCAACACATGAAAAAATATATGCAATGTTTTAGATGAGTGAAAGAGGTAAACTTTAAAAACATCATCATCATGTATGCATCATACAAAACATTTAATTTATTATAGAAAATTCGCACATGAACATTACATGTTCTGTTTATATTACTCCTCATATTAGCCTCTTCTTTCTCTCATCATCCTTCCTGTTTCTTTCTTACTGATAAAATAGGCCACCTCTCTTCTATTTTCATGTGTATTTTTGATCTTGCTTTTTGAATATAGATTCTGATTATGTGGCAAAATGCAATATTTGTCTTATTTAGTTTAACATGATAATCTCCAGTTCATTTGCTTTCCTGCAAGAATGTCATTTCCTTACCTTATTTCCTCTGAACACTTTTCCATATCTGGCAATCACGATCTTTCCAGAACAATTAATATTCATGTCCCGTTCTAGTTTAAAGAAGTCTTCAGTTCGCGCATAGTTAACATACACTAGATCCCCCTGTTGAGAACAAGAACAATTTAATAGAAAATGTAGTATATGGAGTTATGTATGAATAAGTGATGCTTGACACTGAAAAATATAAAGATAAAGCAAGAACCTCCAGGCGATCTAGGACAGATGAGCCTCAAATGAGGCAAAGGAGAAGTTAAGTTGAAACATAATTAGACAAGTTAAGAGACATATGAGTTAAAAGATAAATGTCCTTTTACCTATCTTTTATTGAGTAACTAAAAAAGGAATAAATAGCCCAAAGAATTACAACAGTGTTCAAATTGCTACATGTAATCTGAAAATGTTCAGCCACCACAGATTCACAAGCCCTTTATGAAAGAGCATTCTTCTCTTTGGACTGTACAATCAAATAGGAATATAGTGGGTCTTCAAAACATCAGACATCAAAAAATGCCATGTTTTACAGACATAATTCCAGCCATTTATGTGATAATATGCAAGCATATTGTCATCTCTAAGTTTCAGCATTGAATTTATAAAGACATTTTCTAATCCAGTACTTAAACAATTTATGAAAAGTAATGTGGACATCTATTTATTTTTCACAGGCATCTAAAACAAGTTCATCATAACTTTATGACACCAAGCACCTGAAAGGAATATAAAATACAGCATACTATAAATATAAACATTTCAGAAGCAATGACACAGCTGATTATTTATATCTGAAATGTTCAAATACTCATATTTGTTTACTACTTATCTTTTTCCATTTAAAGAAATATATGAACCCCACTCTAAAAAATGTAGCATCATGATATAATGTTTAATCAGAATGTACCAGGCTCTAGAATCAATGAACTATCCGCAAAAATATAAATTATGAACAAAACCCGAAATCTACATGTGACTATATTTGTCTGTAGTTTCACAATTTTGTCAGTTCTTTCATCATTAACTTAGAAACCTTTGTGATGGTCTGGTTCTAAGAAATGCTTCCTGGATGACTCTTCAGTGAATGATGTGCTTCAAGTGCTGGGAAGATTTTTCAAAAGAATGCATGAGCTGAGGATGGAGATAAGTTCTGTGAGAACACAGCGTATGTTGCAGTCAGGAACCAGGGCCCCACTGGTTACCAGCAGAAAATCAAACTAGGCAAAGTCCCTGCATCAATGGGTGAGGCCCTATCCATTACGTCGACACCACTGGCAACTTTTACTTGCATGGAGAGAAAGAATCATCCTTTAGTGAAAGGGTGGCCACTGGTCCGCTTCCCTACGCTCCAGTAGATGGCTTCAACCATGATGGCAGGATTAACTAGAGTTATCATCCAAGAGCAAAAAGAAGAGAAAGAGAGAAGGGAGAGCAAACAGAGACCGACCAGGATGAGACAGAGAAGATTAAATTGGTCTGTTCACATAACTGTTCTGCCAGTTAGTTCCCACTTGAGAGAAACTCACAATTTTGGGGAGATCCTCCCCCAAGAAAATTGCAATGACAGCTTTCTTTTGATAAGCTGGCAATTGTCATAAGACAAACTATTCTGGAGAATGGACTGGAGAAGGCATTGGTTTAAAACTTTGCAAACAAAAGTAACCAAAATATACACTTTGTGGGCAATCTGTACTCTGAGTTGAAAGACCACTTTGTTTTAGACAATGGCCTTCTTGTATGATCGACACTGAGCTGTTGTTCTTTGATTGTGAGTATCATCTGGCCCTTGACTTGGAATTTTCCCAGATTCCTTCAAGTTTCCATTTTTCTTCCTTATCAATACAGAAATTTGAGTGAGAAAAGCAGCGTTTCTCGAAGAGTGGTCCGGGAGTGCTCCCTCACAGAGGACCTTGTAAGAAGCACCTATGAGTTCTAGGTGATGTTCTCAAACCTGCTTAAACTCATAGACTGGAAACAAGAATCTGCTTTGCAAACCCTCCATTGATGATAAATTTTGAAACCTGAGAAATACTATAGCGTGTTCATAGATGTTCTGAAATTGCAAATTTCAAATAGCCTAATGCATGAGCCAGTGTTATATGTTCCTCAGGGTTCCGACTACATAGATTCAAGAATTAATGATGGAGAAATGCACTGCATACACATAAGATACCTATATAATTAGGAGAAAATTAATACTGTAATGGTTGGATTAGAGATCACCCAGAAAAATCACAATAGCCAGCACATGAGACTTCTATTTGAATAGAAGTATAGCATAGAGAATGAAACCTATATTACTGTTCTATACTGTAGAAGAATTTAAGCATGTTTGAAAGAAAGAAAAGCAATGAGGTTTATGGTTTCCTTTTTGAGACGAGAAAGACTATGTGGGTCAGACTGGTCTCACACTCATTGCAATCCTCCTGCCTCATTCTTCTGAGCTGTCAGGATACAAGCCTTGTCCACCAGGCCTGGGTTGTGGTACTTTCTTCTGAGTAGAAAAATTACATATTTAAAACTTCAGTGATTTCAATAACTCAAAAGAACTACAAGGTATCTGGGTATGGCAATAATTTTCTTTTCATAATATACTATATCCCTATTTGGAAGTATAATCTGTTTTGACATACAGTCTTTTAACTGCACAATACATTTCACAGTTCTCTTCAACTAGTACACACTAAACTAATGCTCTAAGGTGTTTTTAAGTACATTTTATGTTTTGCATAATTTTAAACCACATTTCATTGCTATACATGCTATTATCTCATTGTATTTGTCCAGATATTTGACTCTGATATATATAATTAATCATATCTTTGAAATGAAATTTCATTATTCTGTGTCTTATATGTTATAAATCTTGCATGTCATATGCATCTCTTTGCAGAGAAATATTATAAATAATGTAGACAACATTTTAAATGACTAAAGTAAAAATATAGAGAATTGAAAAAATCATAATTTGGAATTTTTTGGAACAGAGGAAAATACAGGCAAAAAGGGCCAATGATTATATACTTAGAAGATGCTTGTGATATCTAAAAGTGTTAGGGTTGCATGTAATACTTAAAATACTGAAAAACTGATAAAAATTAACAGAAAAAACATCAGAAATTTACCAGAAAAGGAAAATGGCTATAGTTAGGCATTTGCAAATTGAAAACACAGACTGGGTGATGAATAAATATGTCTAGGAATGAATGACCTCATTGTTAATTAAGAGATACTTTAATTAAATTAAAATAAAATTATAGTGATATATTTTAAATGATCATGTGAGTCTGAGGAAAGCTGGACATGCACATTAGTATAAATGTGTGTATAAACTGCTACAAGCTGGATGTTGGGAAATTCCTTATTTGCTACAACATAACAATCTCTTTCTTGTTACTGCACACAGAGAAACATGTCAAAGACAGTGTGATATGCTACAAGAGAGGTGGAGCTAGGAAGAAAATATGAGTTTGACACAAAAAATAATGGGTAGTTACTTGCAGGGAGCACATGTGGCTGACCACCACAGCTGAACCTTGTAATAGACACTGCAAGTGACCAACATAGTTACCACGACAATGGATCATCACATTGAACATTGTGGCTGATTGCCAGTGACCACTACATCTCACCGAAATAGTAATTATAATTTAATCACTGCAGCTGACCACAGGAAGCTCCATAAATGACTGTCACACAGCTGATTTTCACAGTAACCATTACAGCTGATTGTTATAACTGTTCAGCTCAGTGTCCACTGTGACCACTGGTGACCACTGCAACCGACCAACCCAGCTGACTACCTAAGTAACCACCAGAGTTATCACAGATGACCAGAATATTCACCACAATGGCTTTCCATCACACTGTACAGTACAACTGACCACCACTGAAACACACCAGTAATCAGTATGGCTGACCATGACAGTGAACACTACAGTGGACCACACCAATGACTATCAAAGTAACCACTATGAATTGTCATAACAATGACGATTATGAGCTGCTATCTCAGTGAACACTACAACTGGCCTCGATAGTGACCACTATGCTTGACTAGACAGTATACAACTGACTACCAGAGTGATCTTCATAGTGATCACTTTGGTATCTATAGTGACTACCTCAGTGACAAATGTCTTAGTAAATGTTCTATTGCTGTGAAGAGATACTATGATGAAGGCAACTTTTAAGAGAAAGTATTTAATATTTGCTTACTTACAGTCTCAGAGATTTAGTACTTTATCATTGCAGGGAGAGTGGCAGCACACAGGCAGACATGATACTGGAAAAGTAGCTAACAATTCTATATCCTGGCAGGAAAAGGACACTGGACCTGGCTTGGGCTTTGTAAAACCACAAAGCTCATTTCCACTGACACATTACCTGCAAGTAGGCCAAAACTAATCCTTGTCAAGTAGTTCCATTCCATGATGACTAATCATTCACAAGCATGAGCCTATGCAGGTATTTCTTATTCAAACCACCATAACTACTATGACCAACCATCGTAGTGACCACTAACACTAATCCTCATAGTGATCATTACAGCTGACCAATGCAATTGTACACAATAGTAACCTTCTCAATAATAGCCAATAATTTGCTCATCACTCCTCTCTCTTCCACTTAAAGTTTTAATTTTATTATATTGTATTTTTATTGTATATGGATTATTTGCCTGAAGGTATATGTGAAAGAAAGAAGAGGCCTTTGAATAAATTGGGACTGGAGTTGCAGACAATCACGAGTATGTATGGGTGCTAGTAACTGAACCCAGGTCCTGTGTATGAGTAACCAGTAATGTCAACCATGGAGTCATCTCTCCAGTTCCTCTTACACTTATAAACAAGGGTCCTCTTCATCAGCAGTGTTCTCGTGAGGGCTCAAGAGTGGGGTACCACTCAAGAGAGCAAACAAGACACAGAAACACCATCAAATCAAACCATATGTAGGAAAACAGTAAAACATAATTAACATTTTAAGCCTGCCACTGCTCTGATGGCCACAGGAAGAAGAAAAGGTACAGAGATTAAAGGTAAAAGATTAAAATTTCGTAAAGGAAAAACAATGATAAAGTACTAAATTATGATAAAGGGAAGCCTGAGGAAAGAAGTAGCCAGATTTTAAAAGGGAAAGCTTATGAGAAAAAGCCACAGAAAAGAAAGAGATTTAAAAATAAAGACTAAAAATGAAAAATGAAATCTGGGAACAGTATGGAGTAAACAGAGAGACCGAAACAGAAGTCAGGCACTTTTCCTTTTAGCTGATATACTTGGCTTGGATCAGACAATGCTCTTTTGTGCTCATTTTCTTCTCACCAAACTGGTTGGTGTTGTGTTTATACTGAGGGCTGTCTGGCTGGTCCAGGGTTCAGCTGGGCATGGTGGAGGTACAGCTCTACACTGTCGAGTAGTCCAAGTTTGCATTTTGATGGGGGGATGTCCTTCTGTGTATATGTTTCTCTCATTGGTTGACAATAAAACACTGTGGCCAAGAGAGGCAAGGAGATAGGTGGGACTAGGAGATGAGGAGAATTCTGGGAAAATTAGGCAGAGGCAGTTACCATGTAGGATGCCAAAGGAGTAACAGCAACAGACTTTCTCTGGTAAGATAAGGAAATACTTATATTAGTAGAAATTGGTGAATAATTAAGACATCGTTAGCCAATAAGAAGTCCAAGCCACCGGTCAACAGTTTTATAATTAATATAAGTCATTGTGTGTTTATTTGGGGCTAAGAAAGGAGGTTGTGGAACCAGATAGGAAATCCCATAACAGAGTGCCTTAAATCATTTAAAGAACATGGCTCAGCCAAACCCAGGGCTTTGTTTTGTTATTTTGTTTTTGTTTTTTGCTTCAAAAGCCACAGATGATTGGAGGAAATGCATACCTGGGACCCTTAGAAGTGTATGTCATATCTCTAGTGCTCTTCTTTTTCCTTTCTTCTGTTTCCCAATCACCATGATGGTTCTACTAAAACATGCCTTTTTACCATAATGCCCTACCTTACCATGAACCTTGATTAATGGGACAAGCAAACATGGACCCAGACATCTGAGATTACAAATCAAAATAAATCCTCCATCTTCAATTTTAGGAATTTTCATTTGGACATAGTAATGATGATACACACACACACACACACACACACACATGAGCAAGGATTGCCTCCATTATGTGTGAAATTGAGAAGAGGCTTAAGGGAATTTCTGAACTAATAGCAACATTATATACATTAAGGATTTCAATTACACAAAAATGTGTGTTTTCCAAAGTAAAAACTATATAAGTTTACACATCTAATTACAGAAAATTTTATTTTTAAAAGCACCTTAAACATCAATAAAAAGCCTATTAATACTGCTTTTTCTTATTAAGGTAGCCTAGTTTTTTAACTATGGAAAAGGAATAAATCCGAATTACATGGAAACCTCTCTTATTACAGTTTAATGATTGGCTAAGTCTATTAAGTGTGGAAAAGGAATACATTTGAATTATATAGAAACACCTATTGTTACAGTTTAACTTTTGGCTAAATGTATGAGGAAATAGGACTTCTGTTCATCAATTGTATTGTTGTGCTACATTGTTACCTCTGGTGTCCCATGTGGAGAGAAGGCATTGAAAGGTGGTACCACATCTGAGATGTTCTCATATCCTGGAGGCGGCAGTTCAGATAATGACGTGTTGAAAATCTAGAGAAACAAACAATATAATCAAGAGAAATAAGTCTGAGTTTATCCACAAGCAAGGAAGAAAAATTGATCCCTTTCTCCTGCCAGGTATCACACTGGTTATAAACAGGTGCTCCACAATAGGATAAAAGAGACTGAACTTCATGAGAATCCCAGATATCAATATCCCAGTTAGATAGATGTTCCACCGTAGGCTACAAGAGATCTAACCTGATGAGAGTCCCAGATAACAACATTCCAGATACACAGGCACTCCATACTAGGCTGGAAGAGATTCAAACTCTTGAGAGTCCTAGAAAAGCTCATAAGCACCTGGTTCTACTTAAGGACAAAATACAGGCAAACATCGTTATAAAGTCCTCAAATAGAATTATAGCATGGCATAGTAAGGGTGGTCATTATTATAATAATACTGGAACAATTTAAGAATCAAATTTGCATTAACAAAAAAATTACACAGTTAAGAAATCCACCTTCAATAGTTTTCTAATATACTGAACAACATTCATACTTAGAATAATGAAAAACACTAACAAAAATACATGTTTGTGTATCTATTTAAGAATATCATCATTAAGTTGGAAAAGCAAAGACTATTAAAACCAACATTCTAAAATAGCAAAAAATAAAAACAGATATGCAACAGGAATTCTGAGAGGTACCACTGAAATTTGCATTACATGTTTAGATACTGACTATTCCTCAATGTCTGCATGTCAAAGGATGGATTGTGAGGGTCACGGTATCAGAAGAAAGTGAAAACTCTATGAGAGTTGTGGGTAATCTCTCTGTGACATGTATGACTTTAAATGATTTTCGGCATCTCAGCAGCTTCCTCATTCTTTGATTTCTTATTGTGACATTAGCACTTTTTGCTACCTCTCCCTTCACCATTATTCACTGCTTTATTAGAGGTTCAAACCAAGTGAATCCAACAAATGAACTTGAAACATCAAAACTGTTAGTTAAAATAAACTTTATTAAGTTAATTAACACAAGTAATGAAAACTGACTAGAGCAGAACAGTCCATTTCTGTCTGATGGACCTATCAAAATATAAGGGCCCATAAAATGAACATACACAATAATACAGTCTAACTACACTTCAGGAAAGAGAGTCTTACAGGAGAGTCCTGCATAAAGTGGTCTCCAGAGAACACTATATATTCAGATTAAAATAAATTAAATATATGGTGATTCAAGGTAGAGGAAGAAAGAAGGCCTCAAAGAAATGGCAACATTTTTCCTTTCATTTCTTAGATAGTACAAAACGCCTCTTGGTAAGGAATTTATTTTAGAATAGTTCCCACTTGATAGTGCTACTTGATAACCAGCAGAAACAGTCAAGATGCATCATACTTGTTTAGACATTTAAAAGTCCTCAAAAGTTGAAAAGAAGAACTCAGAACTCAAACAAAAATCACAGAATACACATAAAGTCCTGTGAGAAGTATTAAGACACAGAGAACGGAGAATAAAATCATGTTTACAAAGACTGCATGTGTAATACTTATTATATAGATGATGTTGATTTGAGAATTAAATGAAAAATCCTTAAATAAATGTAGAAGAAAATGTTATGTAAAGTGTCCACACAGCGACATATACCTGAAATCTCAGCATGAGGGTACCCAGGCAGCAGATTTATAATTCAAGGCTAACCTGTGCCACATAGCCAGAAAGTATCAAAAAAATTTTAAAAGATGCAAAGCTAGCAAATTATAGGAAATAAGTTTAGGAGACAAACCTATAAGCATAATTTATCTCAGTATATGAATAAAAACAAAAGAAATATTTAGAGATCAGAAGGATAAAATATAGAGATTCTGGGTACACAAAAGTTTCTTAAGGAGGAATGATAGAAACACTGCAAAAGAGTTAAATTTGAAACAATATGTTAAAATTGATAAAGTATAATATGGGATTAAGGATGTCCAATAAGTTTTGTCTAAAATACAATAAATGTTTGCCCTATCAGAGTATAACTTCAATGCTCAGTGTAATACTTAACTGTAACATAAAATATAAAAACCCAGGGACACATATTGGGCTTGAAGTTGAAGCTCAGAAAAGCAAAGTAGCCAAGCCAATAGCTCTTATGTCTTCCAAGCTGAAATGGCAATCCTATATCCAAAAATCTGCAGAGACAATGCTCTCCATGAACCCTCAGAAGCAAATGCAGACTTCTGTGCCCTTCATAAGCCTCAAACTGCAATCTTGTCTGTTCCTGTCTCCTCATACTTCAATTCCTCTCTCCATCCAGCCATGTCCCTACTTTCTCCACCTCCCTAGGGCTGGGTTTAAAGGAATGTGGTCCCCAGTGTTGAGATCACCTTCGTGTTAGCTATTTCTCTTTTAGATTGGATCAATTTCATGTAGCTCAGGGTGTCCTTGAACTAACAGAAATCCATCTGCCTCTTTCTCCTGAGTCCTGGGATAGAAGGTATATACCACCACCACCTGGCCTCTATGGCTAGCTAGTATGACTTGCTGGGATTAAAGATTAATATTAATCTTCATGTGATTAGTAAAGACAGAAAGAAGTAATATTAAGGACAGATTCCAGCCAAATAATGATGACACAAACTACTAAACCAAAATGAAAGTTGAAGTCCCCAAACTAACAAATATGCATTTTTGCCAAAGAAACAGAACAATAATTAATTTCTAACAAAAAACTTAGTTGGACTTTTATTGTTATGATAATACACCATGACCAAAAGCAACTTGAGAATGAAAGAGCTTATTTCAGTTTACAGTTTATAGTCCAGCACTGAAGTGTGGGCTGTAAGACACAGCAGGAACCTGGAAGAAGGTACTGAGGAAAATACCATGGGGTAACTCTATTTAATGACTTCTTCCTCATTGTTTACTCAGCCTGATTTCTTATATAACCAGGACGACCATTCCAGTAGTTACATGCCACAGTGGGTTGAACCCTGTCACATCAACAACTAATCAAAACATTAACTCACAGTCTTATGTGCAGGCCTATTCTACCAAAGCATTTTTCTCAATTAACATTTCCTCTTCCAGATATGTGTATGTTTGTGTCAAATAGACAAAAAACAATCAGCATAATTCTTTACCTATAAACAGTATTACCTTTTCACACTGTGTATATTTTGAAATTATATTAAACCTGATAATGAAAATGAACATAAAAATTGTAAGCCAAGCATAGTAATGCAAAGGCAAGAGGATTACAAATTCTAGGCTAGCCTAGGTAGCAAGATGCTGTCTAAAAGAATGAACAAATAAATAAGAAAATAATTTAAGAAAAGAGGTAATTTAGAAAGTAATTAGACATTGGTCATTACTGAAATACCTCTTATTCAAACTTGTCAGAGTTAACTGAAGCAGTTATAAGATAACTTGAACCTCACAATTTATTTAAGACTGGATATCAGTAAATTGAGAATTCTTCAGAAGATGCTACAAGGAATAGCAAAGTCAACACAAGGACAGTAATAAAGGAAATCTAAAGTAAGCACATAATAAATAAAACATGAAGTTATAAAAGATTGTTAAGACAAAGTTTAGTATTTGAATATATCAGCAAAAGTGACATCTCTCTGACAAAATCAATAAGGTAAAAATAGCAAAAGCAATATTAGATATATTTATACATATGCTACAAATTTTAAATGTGACAATATGTGAAGAATAATGGAGGACAAAACTTGAAATTGAGACAAAGTGGAAAAATTAATCTTATTTTTATTTTGCTTTTTTAAGTTTGTATTTCTGTATCTCACTGTAGTACTATGTCAACAAAACTTCTGTGCACCAGTACATAATTATATCAAGAGTAAGTTGTAACTTCTCACTACACGACCATCACTGCTGCAATATTACTATTTTGTGACACAAAAGTTTTAATATGTAATCCAAGGTGGCTTAGAATTCATGAAGTATCCCACACTGGCCTTGAATCTCAAGGTTAACGTCCTTAATCAGATTCACTAATGCTGGCATTAGAGACTGACACAATCAACACTAAATAAAAATGTGATTTAAAAGGTAAAAGTTGATACAAAGAGTACATATAATAAAAATATAATAGTACTATGACAATTAAAATTTATCCTAGTTTGAATTCCTTCCACCTACCCTCTTTGGGATCTCCTGGCCCAAGGACTGCTGACAGGTCTACTCCTCCCAGTGGTAAAAGAAATCCAAATTCTGCTGACATCATAGTGCTAGTCCTTCTTCCACCCACCAAGAGAGGGAGTATCTCAGAACTGCCTTCACCCATCATGAGGCCCATCAGAGTATTAGACCTACTTGTACCCACCTGAAGAGAACCTTGGTCTCTTACCCAATAAGAGAGGAAGAGACCCCCACCTGCACACACTGGAAGAAAGGAGGTGAACGCAACAATATAAAAACACTTTCAACAACAGAAAAACCAATATGGCATGACCAGAGTCTAGATACATTATATCAACAATACATGAACACCCCAATGTAGATGAAACAGATTGAGGGCCCCAAATAGGATATGAGAAAATCCCTTAAAGAAATGAAAGAAAAAATAAACCAAAAAATTCAAGAAATCAACAAATCTCTTAAAGAAAGCAAGGAAAGCCAAGAAAAAAAACAATCAAACAGATGAAGCAAACAATTCAAACAGTTCAAAACATGAAACTGATAGAGGCAATAAAGAAAACACAGTTTGAGGGAATGCTGGAATTAGAAAAGATGGGTAAAGAATCAGGAACTACAGATGCAAGCATAGCCAACAGAATACAAGAGATGGAAGAAAGAATCTCAGGCATTGAAAATACACTAGGAGAAATAAGAACTCTTAAGCCTAATAAATCCCTAACACAAATTTCCAGGAAATAAGGAACACTGAAAAGATCAAACCTAAGAATAATATGTATAGCCGGGCGGTGGTGGCGCACGCCTTTAATCCCAGCACTTGGGAGGCAGAGGCAGGCGGATCTCTGTGAGTTCGTTGCCAGGCTGGACCGACAGCCTCGAAAACAATACAG